CTGATCCTGTGAGCCTCCGGTTGCATTAGAAAGATAAAGGACAAATTGTACCTTGGTCACTTACTGTATTTGCATCTGGTTCCTCCTCCACAGATCTCTGAGTAGCATCAGAAGAACTTAAAATGAGGCATGGTGAATCCATCTAATCCTGACATCTCCAACTGGTGCCCATGGACACCTACCTTAGCACCTGCTAGGATCCCTACTTTGGATGTTTATTTCATATTTTACATAACCATGTAAAAATGGAGAGGCTGACATGCTGAAAAGCAAAGAGCTGCGCCCCTGAACCATCTTTGTGTTCAAAAGTGTGCCTTTGCATTTTGCAGCTCAGAGCCCACCTCTGCCTCGGAATTAAGTTTTCTGGCCAGTTGCATCCCTTTAGCCCCACCAGTTTGACTCTTGGGAAAGGAGTGTTTTGTGGCTGTCCATGCCAGCAATGGGAACCATTTAATGAATGGGCGCTCTGCGTCTCCACAGCAGCCCCGCTGTGAAGGTACCTGTGGCACTCTCCCAAAATCCAAATGCAGCCATCGACCCAAAACAGCTGGGGACCCATGATCTGACTGGTGCCCACAGTGGTCAACTCCATGCTTCAGGTGAGTATGAAGGCAACAGCCCTCCCTCATGGTGGCCTCCGTATCGACTGGCAGAGTGCTCCTGTGCGCGAGGGCTTCAGATAGCCATTGTCTGCTGCCCTACATGAATTTGCCTTTAAAGTACCCTGACTAAGCAGCAGCAGCCATGGTCCCCGTAAACTGAACTATAAAATCCATATTAGTGTAATGGCTGGATTACGCCAACCCGAAGGTTATCCAAAACATCATAGAAGAGCAGAGCTGGAAGGGGCCATGCAGGCCATTGAGTCCAACCCTCTGCTATTGCAGGACACCACGTTAACCCATCCCACTCAGTTTGACTGCCCCATTTCTTTCTGAATGTCTCCAGTGTGGGAGAGACTTTCCACAAATATGCAAGCTTTCCAGATCTGTTCATAAGGCAAGATGTTGCAAGAAACAGGCAAGACCTCACTCCTCCCAGCAGCAACAGAGAAACCCTGAAATCAACTACGAGAGCCTTCTAATGTCTGCAAATAAATGAATTCAAGAATAATAAAAGGATTTTGTGCTCCAAACTTCCTCGAGGAATGAAGAGTTCCAGGATCTAATCCCTTCTGGGAAGAGAACACTACAATCTTATGCACTGAAGCATTTTTGCCCTATTTATTTACAAAAGACACAAGTTGAGCATGGGAAAGCAAGGAATTCTCAGGCGCACACGTGCACCATCCAGGGAACCACCTCCAAGCCTGATGTTTTTGTCTCCCTTGCTGGAAGCATCCAAACTGCTTCGCTGCATTCTCCCTCAAAACCAACTGGGGAGTGTCTACACGGCAGGGGTAGATGACAATTCCCATCAGCACTTGCTGGCCCAGCCAATGGTGAGGGACGACGGCACTGGCGGGCCAGAACATTTGGAGGGCCACAACTTGCCCACTCTTGCTGCAGTGGGTAGCAGCCCCCTTCTATTTATGATTGCTTGAACAGGTACCTTCTAACTACCGATGCCCACAAAAGATAGAGAGCAGGTGCGCATTCGTCCATTCATTGAGCCCACGCTTCTGGCCGAAATGATGCAGGGAAACCAACAGTAATAGAAGGCCATCTCCTTCCCTGATGACTCTAAGAAGCACCAAAGCTTACTCAAATAGTACCCCAACCTCACAGCTGAAAGGCTAGCTGAAAACTTGTCTGTTCTGCATTTTTGAGAATGAGCCCTGAAAAAAGGCTGTAATTGCCAGTCCTTTTCCAGGCTAAATTTTAAACTTCCAAGCTCTGAACAGCCAGGGGTCCACCTGCCTCGGTTGCCAAGAGGGGGACAGTTCTTAACAGTCAAAGGAGAAGGCCCTTTGAAAGACACCTTCACTTGCAGGCACCTGCTTATCAGGCATATAGGAAAGGATGCCCTCATGTGATGCCGCCACACGCTGGCATACGCCCCTTTGGTGTCAGGCCTGGTCTCCATGCTCTCAGTGTGCAGGGAGAAGCAACAAGACAAATCTTTTCAATTTGGCTTTTTAAGCTGTTACGAGATTTAAGGTTCTTTTTTAACATTTTATGGAGCCGTTACTTCCTTATGATTTATTTTTGCCAAATCACTGCAGGCAGCCTTGAATGTCTCAAGAAAGGCAGTACAAAAGAGAAAGAAATCATCAGTGTGTACAAGTTATATCCACTGAAACATCTCCTGGATGCAAACTGGAAATCTGCTCGGCTCCCCTTTCCCTGCACTCCTTCCACAAAGATATTTAGCCTCAAATCCACAACTGTCTCAAATCCGACCCTAAAATAAAAAGAGCCCTGGATGCCTCTAGTGACAAGGATTTTATTGACATTGCAACAGAACTCCAGTAATGGTTTACTCCAGGTTTTTAAAGAAACATCAAAGCAACACGACACCAGCCTTTCCCCGACAGCTCAAGCAGAACAAAAAATTAGAGTGTGGTTGCGCATAGCCAAATCTAATCCGCCTAAGGGCAAACAGTTTGTAAATCAAATAATTCTGATTGAGGATACATGGCTTCTCATTGTGGCAACCATTCATCAGCCTTTGTTACTTACAAACACGCACAAACCCGTAAGAGGCCTACACGCTGCTGCTCAGGCTGAGATGCCATTGAGCCCCAGAACTCATTAGCAGTGGCACATAACTAATTACAAAGAAAACAGACATATAAAAGCTGCCAACCCAGACAGAACCAGGAATCCAAATGCATGTCTGACAAAAGGGGTCATTAACGAGTTTAACGACAATCTGGTGACTATATACAAAAGCTCCTGCCAATCTCTGGAAAGGTTTTCTTTTTGGTTTGGATTTTAAAAACATGTATTCCTGTTAAGTTTTCCTAGGAAAAGGAAATTTAATGTGGCACCAAACCCCTAAAAATTAGTGCCCAGTGAACCACAGGGATACTCATGAGCAGGCCACCATGCTGACAGTACTGAGCGACAGCATCCATGGTATGTGAAAAGGATTCAGATGACGCAGAGAGGGGAATAGATGGATTTTCAAGCCACAAGATAAAACAATTAAATAGACAGGAAAGGATAACTTCTCTTGGCAACTGTAATAGTGTAAGTGCCTGAGCACTCTAAAAATGTGATGTATGCATGCAGATATAACGTGGGGCGTCGGCGGGGGGGAGGGACTGCAGAGGAGACAGGGCTTCTCTTAATCCCAGGAACAATTCAGAAGGCATCAGAACAAACCCACAGAATTACGCTATTTGTACAGTGTTTTCCTTCTTCCCTCCTCATTCCTTTTTCCTTTTGTGTCACATGTTCCTAGACTGTAAGCTGGCTGGCAGGAGCCCTCTCTGTTTCCAGACTACATGTAAGTGGGATAAAAATACTTTAAGGACACAACCCTGGGCGCGTTTGGCCAGAAAAAGCCCTGCAAATCCCAGCTGGCTGGGGTTAAATGACCCATTTAATGCATGCAGCAAATTAGTGCCTTGAAGGCCCTTCAGATACACTGACAGTAACTCATGCAACAATCCCGTAATGGGAGCCAGTGCTATCTCAAGGGTGTCGTTCCGGCTTTCAGCCAAGGGGAGGTGAAGAGACTCAGGGGTACAGTCCACAGGATGGTTCAAGGGGCTTCTCCTGGTGCAGGAATGCTGTTTCTTAGGAGCATTTGTTGTGTCTGTTTTAATACTTCATAGTCACTAGAGATATATGGGTGCTCCTGAAGAGTAACTGCATAGTCCCAAATAAAGACTTTTCCATGCGCCATTCCTAAGTGGAAACTCAAATTTATCTTTGCATTGCAGTTGATGTCTGTAGACTATGCTTGCCAGGGAAGGTAGCACTGGCAAGAAGTCGCTTCATGACAGTAGGCAGTACTGGAGGGGAATGAGAAGAAGAGTCATCCCACCATGAACATGGAATGTCTTGTGTCATTTTTTCCTCCTCCCTTCCCATATCTTTTTCCTTGTGTGCTGTGTCTTTGTAGATGGTCTTGTTTCACTGATTTTCTTATTTTACTGAAAGCTACTTTGGAATCTTTTTTGGACGAGAAGCTGGATAAAAATGCTATAAAGTAAATAAATAAGCCACCGTGCTGCAGTATGGCCTGCCAGCAAGTGTCTTAACCCCAGAGCCAACACAACCAGAGAGACAGGCTGGGCAGCAACATGGAGTGCCTCAGGTGTATGACTGTCTGGAGAAAAGAGGGAAATGAAGAGAGACCACCTGCACTTTGAGAAGGGGCTGGAAAGGAACCCTGGCTTCTCCTTCCCTGCATCAATCCTCCCAACCACACACACACCCCACATTCCAACGGGATATGACTAAGAGCTTCCTGCTCTCCACCGGCTGCCCAGAGCACTGCTACAATGGTAAGGCGAAGCTAGCAATTAACTGGCATGGGCTGCTTGAGATATGCACACACAGTAGTGCAAACCACAGCCCCATCAGCTCCTGATCATTTCATCTGCTACGGATATGCAGTTCAGCATTTAGAAACAGAGGAAGCTGCTGCATTCTGCGTCAGGCCAGGGGTCCAACACTGGCTGGCAGCAATGGCTCTCCAGGGTTTCTGGCTGGGGTATTTCTAGTGCTGCCCGGAGCTGATGCTGGCGATCAGAGCTGGAACACTCTGCCTGCAAAGCAGGTGCTCTAGCAGCAAGCGAGCGATGGCCCTGAAAAGGCTAGGGGGGCAGGGAAGTGCAACATGTTAATTCAGCCAGAGTAGTCACACACCCGCGGGCTGGCCCTGCTGAGGTCCCCCCGGACTCAGATCACACCCTTTCCCTCTTCTTTCCTTTTCCCGTTTCACCACCAGATGCCATGCGAGGGTGTGGGGAGCAGCAGCAGCTCCAGGGGGCTCTTGTCAGGGGAGCTCTCCTAGGAGTGGGCCCTGGGCAGGTGTCAACCACACCCAATTTGGTGCCAGCCCTGCTTGCTGTCCGCCTCCCAAAAAGCTTTCCGTTTGCTCACCGCCGTAATTGTCTAGCTTTAGCTGCTTTATCAAGAATTCTACAGGCTCATCTGGCTTGTGAATAAGCAGTCCTTCCAGCATGCCCTAGAAATAAAGAAAAGAATGAAAGATCAAAATAGACCCAGAAGGAAACAGTCCCCAGTCCCCAAAGCAAAACCGTAGCACTCTTTGGTGCTTCTTTTCAAAAATCGCAAAACCCAGTTGAGAACATTAAGCAGAACACACAGCGGCTTTCCCCTGTTTGCACTCAGCCTGTACATTTGGAGATTTCTGGTCCTTTTATTTTACCTTCCTCAGAAGAACCCTGAAAAGGTTGCCTTGAACTTTCCAGTTTAGGCAAACCATCCTCTTTCCCTTGGTATCCTATGTGGAGAATGGGATTTAGCCATGACCTATCTGAGTGTTGCTGTGGACAAATAAAATAAGGATTGTATGCTACTTTGCAGATGGAAAACTATGGATGTGAAGTGTGTGCTTACATACATGCCTATGATAGGGAGAGTTATTTAAGTAAATCTTGATTTATTCTTCTGCTGTCTCTACATTTTGGTAATGTCTCAAATACCAGGAGGAGGTCACTGTGGCCTGGAAGCATTCATGAATCAAACTGTACACCATCGCCAGCCCTTCTTTCATGCGCTAGATGGACTTAGCTGCAGCTGTGTCTAAGGGCCACCAGAGGCCACTGTGGCCCTTGCCAAACTAGCATGGACAATACACTCTGGCCACTCTATGATTCTCATTGCTCAGATACAGCTGCCTGGAGAAAGAAGGGACAGGAGAGGAATGCTGTATACAATTTCATAGATCAAAGCAGGAGTGAGGTGATCTAATCCAAAAAGGCGAACTTCATGTTAGGTATAACCAGGTAAAAACTGAAAACAGAACTGCCAGTATCATTTTCCCCTTACATAAATCTTAGGTGCAACATTTTTCTCCCTTTCTTATAATACCAGAATCCAGCAGGGGTCATCCCATGAAAATTAATGGTGAGAGATTCGGGATGGAACAAAAGAAGCCCTTCCTTGCATTGTACATTGTAAAAAGTAAACCTCGTGCTCTCTCTTAGCATACTGCAGGTGTCCTGGTAGAAGTGTGATATCTGAATGCCACTAATAGAGTAATTGTACATTAATCATGACATCCTGGCTAAGCGCTCTGGTCCCGCTAACAGTATTCATAACAAATATCTTTGCTGTGGGTTTCCCTACAGGCAACTGATTGGCCCCTGACTGGAAGAGCACTGGACATGTTGTATCCCCCAGCAAACCTTGTGGAACCCCTCAATACTGAGGCGAATGCTGAAGCACACACAGCCATTTAGAAGGCTGCAAGTCCTCCCTCGGTCTGCTTGAACATGGCTCTTCCTAGTTGCTCGTGAAATAATACTTGGTGGCTGAGCGGGGAGTATTCCATGAGTGGGCAGGAAGCTCAAGTCCAAATGTTTTACGTTCCATTCCTTTTCAGTGAAATCAAAATAAGAAAGAACACCTCTCAAACTGCCTCCAGCTAGGTAACAGCTAGAACCAGCTCTAAACCAGGACAGCTCTCCCCTGCTGCAATGGACTGCAACTCCCACCATCTTCATGATGACTGGGGACGCTGGGAGCCGTAGTCCACGCTGCTGGTGAGAGACTAGGTCAGAATCACACTAGAGCATGCTGGGTATTGTAGTCTTCCAGCAGGTGCCGTGGCCCGCTGTGGTTGCCGCGAGTTCTCACGCATTCCTTCATACACACCATCTCACTCCGACAAGACCCTCATAAATTCTGCCTTCGGGGGAGCAGTTGTTCTCCTCAGGCCGCCTGAGCGCCTCTACCCGGCCATTCTCCTCACCTGCATCAATTGGTAAAGTTGGTGTTTCTCCGCGTATAGCCCCATCTGCGGAGGGATATAGAGAGGCCTCGAAGTGGCATCCATGGCGCCCCTAGCAACCGCTCGTCTCTAGGGGAGTGATGTCATCAAGGGAGACGAAACCAAGCGCCTTCTGCTTTGGCCACGCCCCTACCTTCTCTTCTCGGAGGACTAGCCTAGAAGCCGCCTGTGCGTCATCAAACAGAGACAGCCCCCTCTCTCCCCCCGCCGGCCGCTAAGTTACAATTAAAGGGCCAGCGACGTCCTCCAGTCTCAGGTCTCTGGTAACAGCATGGGGGGGGGGGGCTATCAGAGTCCATCAGCGTAAGAGAAGCTGTGTGGTGTAGTGGTTAGAGGTTGGCATGTGACTGAGGAGATCTGAGTTCTAGTTCCGCTTGGCCATGAAGCTGGCTTTCAGCCTAGACTACCTCACAGGGTTGTTGTAAGGGCAGAGGAACCCCCCCAGGGAAGCCCCTCCGAGCGCTGAGATGCAGCCTCACCGCGCTGGGATACACATGAACAGGCGCACATAGATAACCCTGCAAGGCGTAGGCGCCGGTGCCCCACCTGCGGGCAGAGCCGGCCCGAGTCTCCACCTGCTCAGCAGCTCCCCGCGCCCCTCGCAGGGCGGCGGGAAGGGCCACGCTCGCCTCGGGGAGAGAGGACTAAGGGAGGCGGCACGCACAAGCCGCGAGCGCGCGGCTCCTGCAGCCCGCGTGCCCACCTGCGCCTGGCCTCCCTCGCGGGGTTGTTGTGGCTGCAAGCGCGACCCTGCGCGCGACCAGCACCGCCCTGAGGGGCCGCCGGGCCGGGGGCCCCCCCCCCCCCCCGGAGCCCCCGGGGCCGGCCCGCCGCGTGGCCGGAGGCCCCGCCCCGCGGGGAGAGGCCCGGTTGCCCGGGAGACGCTTGTAACAATTGCCCGGGCGGCTCGCGGCGCGCCTGCCGGGGAGCCGCGGCGATCCATCCGGGGGGCTGCGAGCGGCGGCGGCACGTCCGGGACATGCGGGATCAGGGCAAGGCGCAAAGGTGCGAGGCGGCAGCCGGAGCGGGCGCGCGGTGCTCGTGGGGCGACCCCTCCGGGCTGTTGTGAGGGGGCCGCGGCCCGGGCGGGGAAGGCCAGCAGCGGGAGCGCCCGGGTTGTGGCGGGCGACAGCGCGCTCCTGGGGCCTCCCGGGCGGGCAGGACTTTCCGGGGGAAGCATCCTGAGCGGCTGCAAAAACGGGAGGAAGCCTCGTGGCGTCAGGGGCGCAGGTGACCCCGGAGGCGAGAAGATGGACTCACTCGGGACAGGCTCGTGGCGGGTTCTCGCACAGGACCCTCCAACACCTGGAAGCGGGTTGGCCACCTTGCTTCCACCCGAGCTTGGGCAAGTGCCTTGATACCTGCACAGCCCCGCACATCTGTTCGCGGTTAGCACGCTGCGTGGTCCTGGCCAGCAACACTGCCGCCGGCAGCTCTCCCATCGCTGCAGGCGAGCAAAGGTTAACGTCCGCCCCCAGCGCTCCTCCGCGCACCGCACGGTCCATCACGAGAGTGGCAGGGAAATCTAAGCCACTTGGGCAACTGCTGTTATTCCAGCCAGGACGAGACGTCCCTCCCTTTGGTCTTATCATGGCATCGGGGATGATGCATGGCTGCGTTATGTTTACGATCGCCTCGCTCAGGTTTACAGCGTCTGATTGTCAGTGGTCCCCTCTGAGTTGTCTGGCTGTTTCTGCAGCATCATTACAACCATATTGACTTAGTGTTTGGTGCACGGGGACCACGGAGTCTGAATGCAATGCTTCTCCCTCACTTTCTCGCCTGTAAGCCGCACACACACCTCTCAGAGAGCAACTTGGTGACACTCGTTAGGGCCCTCTGAAGCACGCAAAGCTACTAACAATCCAAAGAATCAAGTAATCCGAAATGTAATAATTCTCAGCAGCTGGCTGGAAATTAAGGGAGTAGAAGCCCAGCGCAATTCAAGAGCACCAGATTGGGAAAAGACATTTATATCCTGCTTTTTTCTCCAAGGAGCACAAAGCAGCACACAATTCTCCTCTCCTCCTTTTTATATTCACACAGCAACCTTGCAAGGTAGGTTAGGCTGAGAGAGGCTGGCCCAGTGGGCTCCATGGCCAAGGGGGGACTAGAACTGATCTCCCAAGACCCAGCCCAGTGTTCTCTCCACTACAGTGTCACTTTGTTACATTTTTAAAAACTCATGCTCAGTTCTACCTGGTTTGCCTTTTCTTCTCTCCCCAGATCTGTAGGAGGGGGGGGAAAATGAATGAAATCAAGGAGAACCTACGGAGCATCGAACAGAACTACAAGATTTTTCAACAGCAACAATTCACCTTTATTGCCGCCTTAGAACACACACGAGAAAATGCCCACGACAAGATCAAGCCCATATCCAGCATTGGACAGGTGCAGGCCTTTTCTTGGGATCAAAGGAGGGCCAGCCCATTACGGTGGGAGGGGGGATTCCTGAGGTGGAAGAAGGTGGCAAGAAGAAAAAGGGGATTCTCTTTCCAACCTGGACAGGTAGGAAGGGAGACTGGTGTGGCACTGGTCTTGGGACCCCAGCAAACTGCCCCCCACAGCCTCTTGAGCCGGGGGGGGGGCAACGTCTGAAGGCCCCAGTGCCCATTTCTGGCCATTGTTTAGCAGTGGTATCTTCCAGCTCTGCCCCGCCTGGCTTCTGCATCCCCATGGCATAACTATAGCTTGGGAAGCCGCCTATTAAAAATAATGGCTGAGTGGCCAAAACAAAATGATGAATGAAGGGGCAGCCGAGGGTCCATGGGGGACACAGGTGGGATTTTTCGGGGCTGCACTAGCATAGAAAAATGTGTCAGCTCTTAAGTGATCAGTCTCAGGATAACCCTCTTAAAAGCAAACACACACACACATAATCCTCCGTTTCCACACTTGCCGCTCGCAAAAACGTTTAGACCTGAGGAGGAGGAACTCATGTACTAAGCATTGCACTTGAGAAAGGCGTGTTCTAAATGACGGCGTATCAATAGCTGGTGCATTCAGCCTTCTCCATCTTGGAGCCAATCTCCAAGCGGGTTAAACAACAAGACCCATCAGGTACACAGAGAAGACATGGCCTGTGTTAATTACATCTACTCCAGAGAAAGAGAGCGAGACGGATGGACGGACAGACCGACCCACCCACCCCCTGTTAGGACCTTTGCTTCCTAAGGACACTCCTGCAGACCCAGGTGACTAATAGACAAAGGTGCAACCCTAGGCATGTTTACACAGACAAAAAGCCCTGAGGTTCCCAGCCAGCACCACTGTTCAAAGAGAGGCTTCTACTTAACTGCTGCATAGGATTGTGCTTTGGAAGATCCAGGCCCTCAGCCCACAGAAAGGCTGCATAAGCTCTCTCAGAGCGATGTATGCAAATTAAGAAACAAATACCAAGGTGTCTTCAAATATTGGACCCAAATCTTGCATCAGCCCACGAATCACCTGATTTCATAGGCAGGTTAGGCAGAGAGCCCCTGCCTGGCCCAAGGTTGCCCAGAAAGGTTCATGGCCAGGAGGGGACCAGAAGCCTGCCCAGTGCTCTAGCCGCTAGCCACACTGGCTCTCTGCCTTAGGAGGCCGTCTGAAGCACATGCGCTCACCTTCTGTCGCAGCCCTGGCAGTGCAGCTACAGTGCACATGGCCAGACTCCCTGGGCTGCTTCAAGCACTCGGGATACATGCTTGTTCTTGTGAGCGACGGGTGGAGAACGTGTGGCCAAGCCCTCCGTAGGCCTCCCGGCCACCGTGGTCACTGGCCGATCTTGCTGCCGCCCCTTCATTGCTGCCACTTGCTCGCTTGTCCTGCTCCTCTTCCTCACCTTCCTTGGTCCAGAGTGAAAAGCGGAGGAATGGGCCAGGTTTCCACGGTGAAGCCAGGCATGTGTCCTCAGGTGTCCAGCCCTCCCAGCTCTGCCTGTGACCGTGCCAGATGTGGGTGGATCGCAGCTCCCATCAACCCCAGCCCACAGGGCCAACAGTGAGGAATGGAGGGAGGAGGCAGGCTCCCCCCTTCCCACTCAGATTTGGACTTGCACCCCCAGCTTAACAGCCCCCAGCGGCTGATGGGTCAAGAAGCTCCTTCCACATTTCCGGAAGGAGACCGCCGTGCGCGGAACAGCCTCTCCTCCTCTTCCTAAGGGACACGCTGCTGTTTTGATCTATTCCTCCCATTATGGGTGCAGGCATGTGGTGCTGGAGCGCCGTTGCGTCGGTGTGCCGAGTTCGAAAGCCGGCGGGGCCACTTAAAAAAGAGAAGGAACGTTCACACAGTCCTGTCTTCGCAACCCTTGCCTTTTTCTGCTGAATCCGTCATCGCGGGACTCAATTAGGCGGATCACCTGCGAGTGACTTCGGCTGCACGGGGAGGATGCCTGTCCATAACAGCTGACCCGAGACCGCCAAGCAGCCACCTGAAGACAGAGATTTGCTGCCAGGACTGTCCAACTCTGCATACAAGCCGGCAACCTCTGAACCCCATTATCATCTTTCTCTCGCATCTTCCCCCGTTCGCATCCTCTTGTAGGAGAAGCAAAGTGGATGCAGAACAGTGACAGCTTTTCCCCTAGATTCACTGGGTCCAGAGAGCTCTTTTTGCATGCCTGCTGATCAAACTGTCTCTCCTTTTGGCTACCTCAAGTTTTAGTTAGAGCTGCAAAAGAGAAAACTGTTAATCTGGGGCATTTTTCGAGAGCAGTTTCACCCAAGCCACCCCTTGGAAGCAGCCAGATTCTTCAGCTACAAAGTACGATCGGAAGGGGAAGAAAGTTAATTACACCCACAGTCAAGCCGCTGCCATCCTGTGATAAAGAGCTACAAATACAGGCTGTGGCACAGTTCTTCCGCCTCAGCTGCTTGTTAGTGCTGCAGCTGACGCTGACCTGGTTTCCTAATTACCCTCCCGGGTCCAGCTTGCCAGGCTGTCGAAACCCGGGCGGACATGGCTTGTTCGAGGGGACAGCAAGCCTCAAACAACCTCAAATGACACAGCCGGCTACCCCAACAAGGGTAATTAGGGAAATCCGGCTGGTACATGTGATAAGAGAAGCAAGCCACTGTAAGATTGTGCGAGCCAGGCAACACAGAGACACACACGTGTGTGCATACATTGTGGCAAAAAAAGATCCTGCTGGGATTTAAGTCAGTGGTGAGCAACCAAGAAAAATATTGGGTTCAAGGAAAGTGTCGACCTACCATGCAGGTGCTGTGGAAAAGTCAAATTTCGTATTTTGGCAGAGTTGGGAAAAGAATGGAAAGGAAAACAGCCATATCACACTCTCCTTATGCGCATCTATGGAATGCCCCTGTCCAGTTTAGGTCACCACACTGAAAAAAGGATACGGCAAAGTTGTAAAAGGGGCAGAACAAGGGCAGCAAAAATGATCCAAGAGCTGGAATGACTCCCCTGTGAGGAAAAGTTACAACAGCTTTTTAGCTTAGAGAGAGGCAGACATGATGGAGGTGTATAAAATTCTGCTGGAAAGGGAGACTTTTCCCCTTCTCTTACAATAGTAGCACCCAAAGGTCATCCCATGAAGCTGAACAGTGGGAGATTCAGGACAGACCAAAGGAAGCCTGCAGAGTTAAAACTACAGAGTTTACCTCCCTGAGATGTTGTGTTGGTCACTAATTTGGATAGTTTTAAAAGAGTGACAGACAAATCCATGGAGGAGGTGGTGGGCGATGGCTGCTCCCCCTGATGCACACGTGGAGGTGGAGATATTCTTCTGTTTTTTATTATTTCTACGCACAGACACTCAACACATCTCAGCATTAAATGTTTTGAGACACGGCTACAATCCAAAGGACCTCTGCATGGGAGAAAACTTGGCTGAACTTCTTGGCTCAGACTTCATCCATTCAAGCTGGAAGAGCAGCGCTTTAGCGAGACCTTCAGCCAGCTGAAATGTGACCTATTCTTTTAACCTAAAAATGTGCATGTTTTTTTTTTTGACAGAGGAGCATGTGATGCTCCAACACGTTGCCCTTGTTTACACCTGCCAATCTCCTCGCTCAAACTCATTTTGAATGTTTTAATTGACACCACCACCTTATTTAGGTTCAAAAGAGTGGGTTTGTGTTTTCTAGTTCGGTTCCCACCTCTGCCTTGGTCTTGGTCAAGCAACTTTTGAGTCTTGCCGGTTTTCTTCTCCAAAGGGAGTGTTTTCTGACTGGTTCATGGCAGCCCATTTTGTGAAAGCAGCCCCCGCCCCCTCTCAAACTCCCACACCTATCCACGAACCCCGGTTGTTGTTGTTGTTGTTGTTGTTATTATTATTATTATTATAACATTTCTATGCCACCCCTTGCCGAAACCTCGGGGCGGCTTACAACACGATAAAATACATTGAAATACAATAGGTTGCTTGGGAGAAAGGTGCGGGTGATGTATTACTTTCACAACCATCCTGTGACATAGGTTATTCAGAGACCCAGGGGGACATTTGGAGCCCAGTGGGGCTTGGAACCTGTAACCATGACACTGAGAGATGGAGCATCCCTTCGCTTCCACCCTGCTGGCTTTGCTCCTGGGTCTCCAGCCAGCCCACCCTTCCTTGCTCTTGTTGTGGCAACAGGTGCAGGCTTACATGGAACATCACTGCAACAACTCCACTGACAAACGCATCCTCCTCATGTTCCTCAACATCTGTGCGGATTTGAACAGGCTCTGCCAGAAGCTGGAAACGCTGCATTCCGGCAACCCGACCACCAACGCGCTCTTGGACAAGTGCAAGACATTAGTCAGCCATAGCAATGACCTCAGCGGAATCCGGGCCAAGTAGGTCTTGATTCACGGAGCATTTTTCCGGTGGGGTGGGGAGGGAACAGGGTGGGTGGGTTGCTTGCTCATGAAATGCCAGGTCTGTACTTCCCAGCTGTGCAGAACCCAAAAGTAAACCCACTTTTTTACTGTTTATTCTGCAGATTATTTAAGTTACACAAATATTAGATTTGTTAAGGATTTGGACCCCCCACCCCACCCCACCCGCAGCACATAAAGGGTTTTCCTTTCACGCCATGAAGCCTGATCAGCCAAATTAGCAACTGTTGAAATGGCAAGTTCGTGTTGCCGGTCCCACGTGTTAGGTGAGGGTGCAGACCGTCAGCCTGAAAATGCCCCTTGAGGTGTGTCCTCTTATGGAGAGTCATCCTCTCTTTCAGCCTTCCACAGCCAGGAGTTCCCCATGAGCAAAGCCTGTATTGTCTAGGCATTATGGGAGTTGGGAGTGGAATATGATGGAGGGGACACAGTTGGGAAAAGGTCACAGGTCATCTCCAGCATGAATGGGCTGGACTGCAACTTTCAGCAGAGGTGCAAGACATGAGGGGGCCTTCGCGTCATTCAGTAGAGCCTTCTCAGCCAACTTACCAACTGCTCAAACAAGCAAGGTGTGCTTTGCAGGAGGTCAGCTGCAAGTCAGCTGCTTGCAAAGCAGGAAGGAAAAGCTAAGCTGCCAAGAATCTGACATGCAACAGCCTTCCTAGCTTTGCTTGAAGGTAGCAGAGTAGTGATGTGATCGGCGAGGCAGCCCCATCCGTCTGGAAGCCAGGCTAGGAACCCTGAAAGGGAAATGGCCCCCGTGATGCACCCAGAGACCCGCCCTCTTGCTCTGACTCCGCATGCCTTACAGGTACCCCCACGATGTGGTGAACCACCTCAGCTGCGACGAGGCCCGGAACCACTACGGCGGAGTGGTCAGCCTCATCCCGATTGTCCTGGACTGCATGAAGGAGTGGGTCGCCCACAGCGAGAAGCTTCCTCGGAACATGCTCCAGAGCGTGAGTTTGAGGAGGGCGGCCATCTATCAGCAGCCCGAACTGCCGAATCGGAATGCGATGGGCGCTCGCCCAGGCCTGCCTCCCTTCGTCACCGCGGGAACCCAGACCTCTCTTAGTTTGACAGCGAAGGCTCGGGAGCGGGAGAATAGGCGGGCGGCTAAAATTAAACAGATGGGTGGCCTAGGGAGGGCCATTCGCAAGTTTCTCGACGGGCCCTGGAGACCACCTGGTAAAAATGCTTTTTAGAGAGAGAGAGAGAGACCCCAAACCCCACCCCCTTGCACAACATCTGGCAATTAAAACAGTCTCCCTATATTTGCTTCCTTTCCTGATGACAGTGCAAGAAAGAAAAAGCAGGGGAAGAGACCTTGCCGGCCCGCATCAAAGCAGAGCTATCTCCTCCCATGCTAGCCCTCCCCTCCAGAGAAGACATTTCGGCCAGCTCCCTGCCATGTTCCTCTCATCCTGGCTTTAGAGCAAGCCGGGTCTGTGGAATGGGGCACTCGCCCCTGCCCCCTTGGTCCAAGCTGCAAACTGGGCAGCTTGTCACGAGCTCACTTGTTTTAGCACTGCTGGGACAGCAGCCAGAGAGACTGGACAGCTCCAGGCATGCCCCCCTCGCCAGTGACGAGCTTTGCCGAGGCTCGATACGTCCCACAGTCCGATACCTGGGGTGTACCTCCAGCACAGGTGCCTGACCTCAGGTGAGCAGGGCAGCATGCTGCTGGAGGAAGCCCCTTCCCGCTGATGGGGTTTTGCGGATGGCAGCAAACTGCCCCGGCCGTTGCAGCTCGCCACCCTCTGGCAGTGGTTGGACCAGATGCTGGAAGCCACTGCACAAATGAGAGCTGCATTAGAAGGCAGCAGAGTTCAAGTCGCAGGAGGAGGAAGGAGGGAAGTCCAGGGAAGGAGTGAGCTATTTTTATATAACTTCCTTGTCCCCTCAAGACTCCATTACAAGGCTAAATTGTACTTTTTAACTGCACCTCTAGAAAAGGAAAAACAGTAGCCCGGCTCTCACTCACACACCCTCATGTTCACACTTGTCAGGAGGGAAAAGCCACGCTTTTTAAAGAAATTGAGCGTGTAACTTTAGATCTTGTCAGCACAACTCGCCTCCTTTTGTCTGATTGCTTTTCTCCCCTCCCCGCAGGCTTCTTAGCTCCTGTCTTTTTTGCCTATCGGAAGATGCTTCTGAATAAAGCCATTTCCCCTGCATGCATGGCTCGTTGCTAGAATTATAGGGGCACTCTTATGATCAGATGATGAAAGGAAAACTATCATGAGACGGGCGAAGAACAGGGGTAGATTAGGATCTTGTGATTCTCTGATCAAGGGTCCCTGCCTCTTCCCTGTTAGGCCACCCATGTGCAACTTGGTACCCCAGCTTTTAATTATTTTTGAAAGCCACTTTTTTCAAGTTAGGAGACTTGGAAGTGCAGGGCCCCCAAATACAATTAAATGCCTGCAGAATAGCCACTGATCTCAAGAGCTCCCAGTCTGTGATTATTCCCTTTGGCAACTTAAAATGAAGGGACTTGTTTGGCTCAAGATCACTCACCACTGCGGATAAGAACAGGAAGTGGGCAGAGCAACCCGACCAACTTTGGGGTGGAAAGAGAGTGCTAGGCCCTGCTGGGCTTACCATGGTAGGAAGAGGCGTCCCCCCCCCCCCCCGGCCCCGCCGTTCGCAGTTTTATTAAATGATTCCCTGTTGCCATGCACAAGCTCCAAGATCAACATATAAAGCACCCCCTTCCCAGGGTCTGGCCACTGGGATTGCTTTGGATCCATAGATCTGCAGCCTCCCACAATGAAGCCTTTTTCTTTCAAGCTAGAGGGAGGCAGGGGAAGCAAGGTGCTCGCTGGGGGCATCCAGCTGTGGATCTCCCTGTCCAGGGGCTGACTCCACCCTCAGAGGGGGATCCAAACAACACTTGTAGTCCAGGTACAGAACCTCTTCCAGCCTGAATGCCCAGTCTCACTGTGAGACGCTCTCGGGGCCACATCTCAGCAAAGGACTGAGGCCAAAGTACCAAGCACCCGCATGGTTCGGCTTAAAGCTTTTTCTGCCACAACGCCCTTCGGAAGGGGAGCGTCGCACAGAAGCCAGGGAACCACCCTACCAACACAGGTGGGGGACAGAGAGGTTTGCCTGGGCTAGACTGCAACCCTGGGCAGGCCAAGGTTTGCCCCCTGGCCTGGCATTCCACACCCGTCCCCTAGTATCTGGAACACCTTCCCAGGGGCCAGCCGAGTGTAGTCAAAAGGACTCAAAACCAGTGCTAGACTTTGCAGTTTCCAAAGTTCCCTGGTTAGGCAGCCTTCTGATGTCAGATCAGCTTTGTGATTTTTTTTTTCAAGAAAGCCAGCCCTTTCTACCAATACCTTAGTAGTGAGATAGTAAATCAAAATGCACAGAGGGGTTTGGGTTTCTTCTCTACATTCGGGAAGTAAAATAAATGAATAATTGAGCCCTTTCAACCTACATCCCGAGCTCTTACAGCATAAAATGTTTATTATTTATGGCCGTGTTTATGGAGCTACCGAGGCATTCAGCTTAGTACTAGAAAGCATGGAAGTTAATTTATTTTTCTCTTTTTCTATCTTGCTGGCTTCCTTTCTCAGATATAATACATATTTAATCATTTTGATCCAGGTGCAAAAGCAACCCCCTTGAATATTAAAACCAGAACTGAACTATTTTTAAATAGATTTTTCAGTCAGCTATACTATCTCCCCATACACAAATCCTTTATGCAAAAGGTTCAAATAGTCAAAATCAATTACCAGATCACTTACACCCTATTTTAAGGGATTTCAAATGTGTATGGCAGTTTGCACATTAAAACATCTATTACTGGCATTGATTTTGATTCCCCATATGGACAAGCTGATCTTAACAGCATTTCAAACACTTGAAAGTAAAAAAAGAAATTTGCCCTTGGCTATCTTGAAAGGGTTATGTTTACACACAGAAATCGGGCTCTTTTCCTGGATAAAATCCAATATGGATGAGGGACAAGCGGAAGAAAGGTACAATCTGGAATTGTACTAAGAAAAAACCCCTCTTGATTTTCTAAGTCCTCCACTTCTGATATTTAGAATTCTGACCACCACTGTATAGAATCAGAAAGCAATTTTGAGACGGGCACACGAGATGGCAAAGGGTGCAATTTGCAGAGGACCTGTCCACACCTACCCTCTTTCGGTCTGGATTAGCAGCGGAGAAGCCAATATTTGGTTACAATCACTGATAAAGTATATGTATAAAGGTGGGATTCCTTTATGTTCTGCCTCACATTTTGAGCCAAGCAATTCAATCCTGAGCCGAAAGAGCCCAGACAGGAGCATCTATAGACTGTTCAAAGGATGCCCCGTGCCAGCTACAAAAATAGTCTTCCTGGGTCAAGTATGCAAGCCACCTTCTTAGGAGCTAGACAATTCTTTCAGCCCAAGAGCAGAATTCAGTTTTGGAGAGGATCTCTGGGGGATGCACTCCAGGGGTGGGTATAGCTAATGGCAATGGGGATTAAGCCAAAGATGGCCCCAGAAAACCCCAAAACAAGGCAGGATAGGAAATCCACGAGAGGTGGTGGAGGCCCCATTGGTGCGGGCGTTCAAGGATAGGCTGGACGTCCACATGGTGGGCATGTTGTGAGCGGAGCCGGCTGGAGCCGGGGGTCAGACTAGATGGCCCGGGAAGCCCCTTCTGACCCCCCGTTTCTATGAAATTGCGCAACAGCACAGAGATACTTCCAGCCATTCTAACCAGCCTTCAGATGGTTATCCCTCATGCGGGTGTTACTCAGCGTGGATGCTGACCATTTTCCTGTCACAAGGAACACAAAGCAGCTGACGAGGTGGTGGTCCTCCTCTCCCTTTTATCCTCACAGCACCCACTGCCAGGCTGAGCATCCGTGACTGACCCCGAGTCACCCAGAGTGTTTCATGGCCAAGTGGGGGCTAGAACTGGGTGCTCCTCAGGCCCAAGTTCAATCTTCTGTCCACGAGGTCACACTGACTACCTAAGAATATATTCCTTTTTTTAATCCACCAGAACAGGCTGGTGTTAAGGAATTCCTCCAGTTAGTCTTTGTGAAGTCTTAGGTCCTGAACCAGATTCCATACCCAACCACACACACTTGGTTCCCATGGCTGGCTGGGGATGCTGGGAGGGGTAATCCAACACATCAAGAAAGCACTGGGATGGGGGCATCTGCCTTAAACACTGTCAGTTTATCCAACTGTACAGAGGTTTAGAAGCAGCAGCTTCTCCTTCACCAACAGAAACGGTGAGCTATCCTTACGGCGGTCAATCCAGTCTGGCTTCTGCGACGTTTCTTTTTCTGTTACCTAGTCCGTCCAGCAGCACTCCCCAGGAGAATCTTTCTCTCTCTTCTTCCCCGGCCCACGCTCACTGCAAGAACACAACACCTGTGCAAAACAATACGTTTTTATTTTGTTCACAGTTAAACACAAGCAACTGCTTTGATGTATTAGAACATTCTAGTAAGGACAGCAAAGACCCTCCATTTGGTTTGTTTTTAAAGTTCTTTTTTAGCTTAGATTGTACCATTTCGTATTTATGGCATTTCTTTTTTAATGTCAATTATTTTTTAATCATGCTTACAAAGAGCAAGGCAGGAAACAATGTTAACCCTTTGAGGGACAAGCTGCTTCTTTTTGGGGATTTAAAAGCTGTCAGTTGCTTTTTTGTTTAAATCATTTCCAGCTTTACCAATGAGATTTCCCCCAGTAAACTGCAGAAGTTTGTGACATATGCTCCATCCATGATTCAAAGAAATTCACTAAGCAATGGCAACAGATTCCCCCCCGCCCCCATAATTACTGTGGTCCGCTGTGAAGTGGGAAAGAGTATCTTGAACTTCTAATAGCGTCACACCAGCGAGGTGCTCATGGCCTGTTCAGGAATAAGGACAAGGCCATCTCACTTGAGAACAGTCTAAGTTGGCTATTAAGGAGAAGAAAGTCCCTTTTTTGTAAATGAACAGGAGAAAAACAGTCTGCAAGGAAAGGCCCAAAATATTCCATGTAATTCCTCTTACGCAACTGTGTTTAACAACTGAAGAGGGAGAGAAAGACCAGAAGATGGCAATGTGTGATTGCTTCATTCCCTGTGGGGCACGGCGTACATGCACCAGGATGAGACGGCAGAAAGGACTGTACCAGCAGTACTGTGCAGATGATGGGAAATAACATGCCACTCCTTTACATAAGGCTCCCCCATCAAATAAAAAGGATTTGCATACAGGGGAAGCAAAACCCACTCCACTGCTATGCTAATTTTCTTACACAGGGGAACGGTGCAAGCTGATGCACTTAGGTTAGTGCAGGAGCGTTCCAGGGTGCAAAATGGTACAGTCTGTCCTGGGATCTCAGGAATGGACCACCATCTTTTTGTTTAGCTTTTTAACCTTCTACCACACATGTTAGGCCGAGCCACGGAGCAAAGGCTGGAAGGAGCAGGGGCGAAACCCTGGAAGATCTGCTTCCGTGCTGTGACCTGCCACTCCGACGCCACACACCAGCCGCACATTGTCCAGTCCCACGGCACTCTTGCAGAATCGCTCACACCTCCTACGCTACCTTGAGCCAAAGTCCACCACTGCTGCACTGAAGAAGGCTTTCACAGGGGTCCAAAGATGGATTAAAAAAGGGGTCACACAAGAAATGTACGCAGGACCACAAGGAGGAACACACGGCGGAGGGCATCCTTGTGCATGGGGATCATCTTAGCAGCTTACTCTTGAGTAGAAAGGCCGGGGGAGGGGCTGTCACTGAGAGTGCGGGGGGTGTGTGGAAAGAGAATATTCAGGTATTAAAAGCCAGGAGAATACACTGGGGGGGGGGGTTAAATAAGAATCACACATCACTCCCAGGAAGTCAAACTACCAACATGATTTCCGACATTTAATGCTTTTCCACTAAGGGGCAAGATTATTGGTGAAAGACCCCCCCATAGTGGGGAAAGGGAAGGAGGAATCCTAAGGATCCTGAAAGCAAATGCACCACCACACCGCTTTTGCACTGTATCCCAGTATAGCTTCTTTCTGAATCTCTTTTTCAAAGGGGGAAGGTTTCAGGCCCAGCAGAAACACGGTTCAGTCCAAGGCCAACATGTGCCTGCCTGAAGGCCGCGGTGCTCCTTGCCTGCCTCCACACGGGCCACAGAGAAGACACGCCTTCCAATCTAGAGATGGGCCAAGGGCTGCGCCGCCACCAGAGCTCCTCTTGCTCAGAAACCAAAGCCAGGCGTGGGCAGGGAGACATTTTGTCTGGCCAGACGAGACACTTCAAACCACACGGACAGAACTCTTCCAGCTTAGACAGCAGCTCTCCTAAAAACTGGGGGGGGGGGGGGGAGGAATCCCGAATTCCTCTGTGGTTTCACGAGATAACTCTATGCACTTCCATTAACAAAACCCTCCCATTTGGGGGAAGCTTTGACTCTCTTCTTTTACTCGTGAAGACACACCAATGTGGCTGAGCTCAGGACCAGCTTATTGGGCAAACTATGAGAGATTAGCTTGGGTTAGGAAAAGAGGAATAGTGTTTCAACCAGGTCCACCCACAAAACCGGGGGCCTTCACATGAAAAATTCCAGTTTCTTGGAAGGAGCAGCTGTAGAAAGTTTGTTCACACACAGAAATGTTAAGGACAGCACAGGTAAAGTGATGACTTGGGGTGGGGGAGAGGACCGCAATTTTTAAATACGGATGGGCACAACTGAAATCGTCTCATTACTGGAGCACAGCCCGGCCTCTCTGAATGAGTGTATTCGGCAAGGGGGGTGGAGAACAGGACAGGACTGAAAGGAACAAGGAAGGCAGCGCTATTCTCGAATGACCATACTTAAAAAATGCAGAGATTGCCTCCTTCCGATGAGAACAGTTGCCAAGGTCATCTGGAGGGGGAAACATTCCCACCTACCCTGAGTGAGGACCACTGGTGCCTTGTTCTTCAGCTAAGCACATCACAGCATTTCTTGGAGAGGTCACCTTAGCCTCATGTGGCACCTGGGTCGCCGGAGGCAACCTCTCAGAGAGGTGAGCAGGGGGCCTAGTGAAGGGAGGACAACTCGGAAGGATCTTAGCCACTGTCCTGTCAAAATTAGGATGCTCGAACGGTGAGCTCAAGAGTGGCAATAGAATGCTGTGAGAGAGGGGAGGGGGGAATAGGATGAGCTCTTCCAACACTTCCAGACCTGAAATCCATTTCGCATTCATCCAGCCACATGTCCACAAACATCAGGGTCCGGTGTCCATTGCACAAGCCAGTGGCCCTAGAACCAACTGTGAAAGTGCTTCGTTAAAACGAGCATTCACACCTCCCTGTTCTACGCCAAGAATATGAAAAGTAACACTGATTTTTGGATTCTCTTCCTTCTTAGCTATGGCCATGATGTGATTCGTTGTAGTCCATTATATGAAGCTGTCCAACACTGCTTTCCTGATTCCTGGGGGAGGGAGCCGGGTCCTCGAGGCTGGGAAGAGCTTTGGCCTCCAGGCTCGGATCTTTGCACAACTCAGTCTTTAAAGTGTCACAAAGGCTGTTGATGGGTGCGCCGTCCTCGTCGCACTGGCTCTCGCTCTTGTTGCGGAACAGCTCCCGTGCCTTCATCCCCAGGAAACTCTCGGAGCTCGGGAAGGAGCCCACTGTCAGGGGGCCACCACTGGGGGAGGGTTCCAGCAGCCCTGGCGTTTCCCAACGGCTGAACTGCCCGGATTTCTGACTGGCGGGCTTTTCAGGGGTGGACACCACGCTGCTGCTGCTGCTACTGCTGCTGCTGCTGCTGCTGCTGCCCCGGGCACTGGGGGGTTTGGTCTTGCCATTCCTGTCGATAGCATCTTCACTGCATCCTGTGAATGGGTCTGTGCTCCCTTCCTTTACACCAGGCAACCTGCTGCAAGGGCGAGAGACACGCAGAACAGGAAGCAAGTCAGCAGACCATGGCAGGCAAACCTGAGACGGGAGGAGGAAATGAAGCCCCGACCCGCTGCCTCGCCCCACCCCTCCACAGGGCATCTCTTGAATCAAGTCACAAATTACATTTTTACTCCCTTCCCAAACTCAAGGGAAGTATTTTTAGGCTCACATTATAAAGCAAGAGAAGCATGGTTCAAATAACCTTTCTGTTTCAATACAGTCGACAGGAATGCGAACTCAGTAGGGTCACCGCAAATGCAGCTAGAACACACCATTTCACAAACTGCCTGCTGTCCTGCAAAATACCCTGGAGGTTCAGCCGACCACTGCGACGGCGCTGCTCTTACCTCCCTGCTTGCTTCCTCTTGCGAGAAACCCCCGGGGCCCGCTGCACTCCAATTATCCTCACAACAACAACCCGGTGAGGTAGGTTAGGCGGCGTCCGAGTGGCCCCCAGTCGCTCTGCAAGCTTTGCCGCTGAGCGGGGACTAGGGCACGTCCCCAGCCAACCTGCCGCCACCACACCAGCTCTCCAGGCATGCCAGCCTCTACGGCTTCTCCTCACACACTGGCAGCTTAACCTAAAAACCTGTAACAACGGCTTGGGAGCAACTCAGGCAACAGGAAGACCAGTTCCGGCTTTTAACAAAAAGAAATCCAGCATTCCTATTACAGAGCGAAATGCCTGGGAACAAATCCACAAGGGACCAATGGAGAATCTTTTAGAAGCCAGGGGCTTTATTGTAAGGTGAAGATGAGGGAGCAACTGAGTCAGGAGACCGGTGGATTCCCTCTGCTTCAATTTGGCTTGTTATATTTTCCTCTGTTTTACTAACAAACCAAAGAATGATGGAAGCACATGCAAACCAAACAGGCAATCTCATGACAAAGAAGGCCTGTAACGGAAACAAACACAAAGCAAATGAGAATAGCTGGAGCCAAAACATGTGGCTGTGCTACTTGAAGGCAGCTCTGGATGGAAACGCTCAACGGGATTGGTAGGCTGACCTAGAACCAAGCCATGGAACACCTGGTTGGGCTTGTCCCATACGAGCAGCACCAATTAGCAGAACTACCCCTTCCAGTGGTTTGGGCATGGTTCACTGCAACTCGAGACTGCATTATAGCCTTCTCTGAAAACACCAGCCACGCCATACTACAGACTCTCATTTCTGAGTGTCGGGCGTGAAGGAGGCTTTAGGGCTTTGAAAGGCCGCAAGACCTTCCTTTAGGAGCCCTCTAGGACTGCCTTCCAAGGGGCGACGTTCCAGCCCATTATTCTCCACTCTACAAATAAGGCAGGGAAGCCTGCAAGGAGCATGAGAAGGCACCCTAACCTGCCTGCCTGGTGAAAAGCAACGGCCCACTTTGGAAGGTGTGCACATGAAACCTGCCTAGTTTCGTCCTTAAGTACACGCAAACCCATTTTCAAGAAACAAGAGTAAGTCGCACCAAGCCAGCCCCTCGCACGTGGGGACAAAAGCAGGGCGGGAGGAAGCTGACTGGGGTGAGGGCCAAGATGCATCCATGGCCCTCATCCCAAGCAGTCCTTTTCAGACTGCTAGAATCCACAGGGCAGGCAGCACAGCTCCCTACCGCAGCTTGCGAGTGAATTCTGAGCCACTTTTTAAATGGTTTGCAGCCAACAAGCTGCAGGGCCACACCGAGGTCCCTTTACCTTCCTTCTGCCATTTTGTCAGGCTCCACTTTGTCCTCAAGTTCTCGCAGCACCCTGTCGTTCTCCAGGCGCCCGTACAGATCCAAGATCTTCGACTCAAATGCCTGAATGATACTTTTCTGCACCTCGTACTGGCTCCTGACTGCTTGGAGCTGCCCCCTGGAACAGGCAAGAAGTCACATGGTGGGGGGGCGTTCCTCTGCCATTTCTATTGGTGCAACAACTTCACATTCAAGAAAGAGGCAATCCCCTCAAAACCATGTAAAAATACAACGTGCAAATAAGCAGGACTAGCACAAAGTCCGGCGGGATACTCTGAACCAGTCGATAAGCAAGCATGATTACAGGCTTACTGTACTCACAAGCTGCCTTATGGATGGTCAATATTTTCCAAGAGAGGTGGCTGCGTTTAGCCTGTCGCTGCAGCAAAAACCATGAGGAACCCTTTCCTGTCTGAGAATGCTCATGCCCTGCTAGATGTGCTCATCTTCGCAACGCTGCGAGATTCTTGGAGCACAATCCTGTGCGTGTTTGGACAGGAAGTAGGTCCTGCAACTCCCTCTGCTGGAGTTACAGGACTTCTGTCTAACCGTGGCCAGGAGAGCACCCTCGGTTGTTTCTGATGGAGAGTGCCCTCCAGACCCTTTAAATGGACATCCCTCGGCGGAAACAAAGGGAAGGGGCAGGTCTCGGGGCAGCTGAGTGGGATTTCCGTGAATGTTGCACTTTGTCTAGGCCTCTGTTAAACTGCTGGAGTGGCTTGGAATCAATCAACATCTTTTCTTTGTTCAAATCCCCCTGGACTGAGGTGCAATACAAGCACAGGTGCTCACATCTGGGTGTGAGCACCAATGAAGTGCACGTGTGTGCACAGTCCTACGAGAAAGAAAGCGTAACAATGAGTTCTGCACAGGATCCCCATTCTTCCCTCTCATGAATTACCTCCGGATCTACAGATCCAGAGAGCAACGCCTTTCCTGTACTTTCTCCTCCCCCATTCTCACTACCACCCAAGTTTCACAAGTTCTCCCACTCCAGATCCAGACAAGAGCTTTCAAAACAACATTGGCTCAGGGATCCCTAAAGCAGGCAGGGGTCTATCAAGGAAAGGCCATACTTGGCTTGATCTTTAACATCTTCCAGGTATTTTTTCTGCTCCAGTAAGAGGTGGTCTCTCTTCGAGAGCTGAGCCTCCAGTTCGGCGATCCGCTTCTGAGATGCCTCCAGTTGCTGACTCTGCTGCTGAACACAACACTTGGCTTTCTCCAGCTCGTTTCGAAAGGCTGCCTGCAAAGTTTCAACTTCCTGTAGAGGGAGACGAAGAAAGGGAGAGAAGCTGAGGCCTTGCGGGGAAACGCGAGGGGGGCAAGGAGGAGACCTAGGTGCAGGCTGACTGAAGTCCATGCCTCAAAGCAAAGATGAGCAATCCAGGGGTCCCCAAGTGGGGGGAGGGGAGGGGACGGTGTCAGTAAGCATTTCTAGAAAGGTGAGAGCACAGAGGTGTCACCCAACGGCCACCAGAGGGCCTCCCCGTTCACAAAACGGCTGGTAAGGGGAGCACGGCCAGCCACAGAACAAGCCTTCTCGGGAAGGCAAACAGCTGCATGCCCCAGAATGCACAGCAAGAGAAAGGCGGGAGCTGAGATCCAAAACACGGGCACATTCTTCAGAATCCCAACAAAAACGGCAACCTCCCAGGGCTGGGTTTTATTCTTTGAAAACCCCGCTTTAAAAAAAGGCCAGGAGAGATGGGAAAACTGGACAGTGCCAGGAGCGGCAACCACCAGCACATCCGTGACCACGGGCGCTGTCCAGAGAGCCCGGGGCAGGCCATAAAATGACATCGGTGGCACCTGCCCTGCTACTGCCGTACCTTGGTTGTGTCCGCATGCTTGTGCTGCAGTTGCTCCAGGTACAGCTCATTCACCTCCCCAAGTACCAGAAGTTGCCTGTTCAAGAACTCCATCTGCTGCTGGACTGACTCACTGTTGGAAAGCTTAAAGAAAAGAATATCGAGGCTACGCTGAAACAAGACGGACGCATTGCTCCTTTTTTTTCTATCTTTCCTCTTTCCTGCAAAAAGCCCAGGGCAGTTTATACAACCCTTCCCTCCATTTTATCTTCACAGCAACCTTGTGAGGTGGGAGAAGCTGATCACCCCCAACCTGCAGCAATTTGCCCCCCCCCCCGCTGTGGTCACCTGAGAACTTCCCACGAGTGCCACTTCTGGGCCACGTGTGCCACTCGCGCTGGAAAGGTGGCTCCGTTTTCCACTTTCTGCATTATGCTCGGTGGACTAATAAATCTAGTACGAAAGCAACCAGAGGGAGAGAGAACGCTCACCCAGCTGAGTGTACAACTGCAGCCTCCACGGGTGAAACTGACACACTGCGTGTTTCACATTGTGCAAAGAGGTAATTCAGCTCTTACCTTTTGAGACACCTGACTCAGAAGCAGCTCTGTGTGGCAGACTTTGTTGTTGGCTTTCTTCAGCTCCAGCCGCAGAACTGCAATGATATTGTGGCAGTCTTCCAGTTTGGTCTATTCAAAAAAAGAAAAAAAGCACAGCAGAGGATAAGATGACAGCCAGAGCAAGGAACAGAGTGACGATGGTGGAGATTTATTTCATTCCCACGCAGTTTACTAGCCAAAGCTCTCTGAGTGGTTCATAGTCATTTAGGAAATCATACAATAGAGCAGGAAAAAACTTCCCAACTATAAACATTTAGACACAAATTAGAAGCAGTAAAAACAACCTATGTCATCAAAGCAGAACTGAAAAATACCACCATTCAGACACGATGCCTGCGGGCAGTGACTGTCCTCTCTCGTCAGCCCCTCCAGAAGTCTTTCTGGGGGAGTGGGATTAGAAATGTTCCACATGAAAATGAAGAGACTGCCAGGGAGAGGCTGGGAGCTGCAGACCCGTTCATCGGTGGTCACCAGGCCAAGGAGACTGCTCTGGGAGAAGCCACCCCTCCCCCTCCCCCTTCCATTTCCTCCTTTCAAAGCAGCAGGCTCCACCTTCAGTTCCTGGCTCTGGTTGTAGTACTCTTCTCGCTCGTGCTGCAGCTGGCGGATCTGGCTGTGCAGCTGGGCCACCACACTGTCGCGCTCTTCTTGGAACTTGCGGTTCTGGGTCTGTTCCTTCTGCAGGCTGACCTTCAAAGACTGGATGTCCTTCTCCTGGAGCCTCAGCTGGTCTTTCTGTCCAGAAGCAGGGATCAGAATTCAAAGCCCACTCCCACACCGGCTGCCTCACTCACCACTCCCAAAGGAAAAGCAGCAGTTTTGCGGCACTGCGTGGGTGCAGTACGTCACCCGAGAAGCGAATTCATGATCTGTGGTAAGTGCCACATCTCCCAAATCATTCCTAAATATGCTGCCATCTAGAAAAACCACTTGGGCTACTTCTACAGTTGCATCTGGATGAAGACAGGGAAGGGCAGAACAGCAGCAAAAGGAAAGGATTACTTTGTGCACAGTATTCAGTCCCTGGAAGTTCGGATTACCCTTTTTTGGTGCTGTCCCATCGAGTTTTGGCAGCAAAACGAGGGAGCACTTTTGCCACTGTGGTAGCAACTTCAGCAACGGCGAAGGGTGCGTGCATGCGCACATGCGCGATTCATGTGTCGCTACCCCGGTTTACAGGAACCGAGAGATCGCGCAAAGAACCCAGAGGCTCTCCACTGACCATTGCAGCGTTGTGTTCCTCCAGGGCTGCGGCTTTGATGACTCTCCGCAGAAGACGTCGGTTCCGGGCCGCGTGCTGCTGCCTCTTGAAGCGCTCGTACAACAGCTGGTTATGCAGCAAGCGCAGCTGGTTCTGGAGAGTGTGAATCTCGTCCGAAGGAGGAGAACCTGCAGGGGCAGCAAGGCAGAAGATGGCACTTAAAAGCCCGTGGCAACATGCGACAGCGATGCCCCAGGCACCATGCAGGTGGAGATACGAGATCCAAAGTCCACACTCCAACACAAAGGGAGGCTGGCCAAGTAATGCACATATGCTCAGCTCTAGTCACCTACTAGATGCTGCTACAGGAGCAGTTCAGCTGCACCATGGACCCAGAGAGCGCGTCTCATCCCTGAAGAGTGCATGGATTTTCAGCAGCTACAGCCCAAGGCTGCTGCTGCTGCTATTAATATTTCGTTTAACTTCTATGCTGCCCCATAACCTGAAGGTTCTCTGGGTAGCTTACAAATGCTGAAGCAGCATATGATACAACTGATAAAAACACTAAAATTAATAGGACATAATGATCTCACATAATAGGATGATAAAAGACACTCACCGCATTACAAAAGACAACCAATAAACAAAAACTAAAAATCAGATCACCAATAACAAAATATAAATTATAAATTTAAAAAATGAAAATTCAACAAAGCTGATTTGAACAAAGATGTTTTTACCTGGCATCTAAAAGAAAGCAAAGTTGACACCAACTGTTATGTCCCTGGGAAGCAATTCCCAGAGTCTGGGTGCCACTGCAGAAAATGCCCCCCTCCGAGCCCTTTTCCCTTTGCTCTCTCACTAGGGGGCAGTATTCAGAGGAGGAACAGAGGAAGATCTCAGTGGGCGGGCAGGAATATATGGAGAGGGGCTCCCTCAGGTACCCTGATCCTCAGCCATTCCTGGATGAAGCCAATTATCTGGATGCTCTTCCATCAGGCTCCAGATCTTAGGAGCAAGTGTTGGGAGTCGATACTGGCTGGATGACTGGGCAGAGAGCAAGAGTTTGGCCTGTTCCAGACACAGTTTGTACTTCCCCTAAAGGACTGCATCTGCAATTTGGAGAGAGCACACAAGCAGGCCCTGGAGATGGATATTCAAATGCTGCCTGCAACATGCAGTGCCTTTAACATAGGTAAGCATGCACTTGAAGCCCTACCTGAAAAACTTAAGGCTCTCCCCAAACAGTGTTGGGGGAAAACAGGTGGTTCAGAATGAATTGTTCTAAATGGAACACAAGTTTCTATTTTAATTTTTCATGGAATTTTCAGCTAAAATTCCACAAGTGGGTCTTCAACATGTTGGTGTGTCAGTTTTTATTTGGGGAAGGACACACTGTACGTACGTGCATGTTTGGGTATGTTCTTGTATTTGTTCAGCACAGCTGGAAGATACAACTGGGCAAAGTCTGTTTGACACTGAGATTAAAATGTAGACTGGAAAGGGTTGCTTACCTCCAAAGTGAGTCCAGTCAGCAGATTTGCTAGGCAAAGGTAATCTGAAAGAACAAGCAAGAACAGTGAGGAAAAGGTTTACAGCAGGGGTGCCACCCCGCAGGCCCCAGCTTACAAAGGTTTGTCTCCACCCTAAAAGATTAGAATGCCTCTCCTAATGCTCTGTTACTGGCAGGAACAAATTTAAGCTACAAGACGCCAGTGTTTTGCTTTCAGCTCTGCCCATCACTAGTACGACAACTCCCAAGAATTTCTCTAAAATGGAATTCAAGCTGAACAAAAGTTCAACACACGCCTATCTTACAAGAATGGCTCCTGCGCTCTTTTCACAATGATGCTGAAGAACATACCACAGCTATCTGCATACAAATGGGAGTGAACTCTGCAATTCAAAGAGTCCCCTTACAAAACCCAAACCAGTTATCCAGGTCAAATATGCACAATTTATACAACCTCGGCATAATGTGGCCATGTGCTTGGATGGCCAGACTGCCTCGGGTGGTTACTGCGCTATGAGAGAATGAAGGCAAAGCAAAAGGGCACAAAGGACTTTCCAAGCTTCTCCGCACACAAAAGCACTAGCAACTTGCTTTGGCTTTTGAGAAATGCTTTCGGATTATGAATTCATTAGGGATTCTGTTCCTCTGGTAGCGCACGCACACACGCACACGTCCAATTAATCAATAACCATGATCACCCTTAATGTGGGAAGTGGGAACCAAAGTGAGGCTGTGCCTGCAGGGATGTGCAGTCCTTACTTGTTCAGCTCTTTGCTGTGGGCATCCGCGCCATACTGTATGAGCCGGTCAAGCACCTCCAAGGGGGAGGCGGGAAAGGTGCCGTCTTCCTCTGGAACCGTCTTGGCTTTCTTTAGCAGCTCTTCCGTCCTTTGGGTGACAAACAGGTAAGCCGTCTTTGGCAAGGCCGCCTCAAAGAGGTGCTCATAAGCGTAGGGGGACTGCTCGCCCCCCAGACCCGTTCTCCGGTACACTGGGATCTTGTAAGGGCTGGGGGTGAGAATGCTGGCCTCTGCAGGAGCCTGGGCTGCCCTGCTACTGGCAGAGTGATCCCGGCCAGGGCGGGCTATGGGCGTGAAGGCTTGCTTTGGGGCCTCCTGCGTGTGCTCGAGCCCAGGCTGGTCCAGAAAGGATGACGGGGGCTCAGAGCTGAGGCTCTGCCCCTGGGCGCTCGAGGTGGCTGACTGGGACTTCTTGGAGCTGGAGAGATTCTCATTTGAGTGGTAAAAAGGGGAGTCGAAACCTCCCCGAGGCACCACGGGCTCAGCATCTACTGTCGTGATCTCAGAGATCTCTTTTGATATGGCATCTAAAAAGGAGAGAGGAAAAAATCTCAGTAGCAGAAAGAAATTGATCAAGTCATTAATAATGGATCTCTATGGGAATAATTCTTCCACTCTTGTATCCTCCTATGTTGCTAGAAATGTTACAGACAGCCTTTGGCTATAGGAGGGCATACAAATGAAGTGCAGACTAGGAAATACTGTATAACTGTATTGTATAAATCATACTTGTTTTAACCATGTTTTATTTTTTCTACTGCTATTTTATCTGTTTATTAATCTTCCTGGTCAGGGACCATAAAATAAAAACTAACTAGCAAAAAATTATCAATATACCAGAAACACGACCCTCCCTCCACACTGCTAAGAGGACTGGTTTTTCCCAGAGTGGACAATGGCAATCATTTCAACTCACTTGCATTAGACGAAGACCTCTGGACACTGCTATACACTGAGCCAGGCCAGAGCCACCTAACCCAATCTCACGGACACTGACTGGCAGCTGCAGCTTTCCAGGGGCAGCTTTCCCCACCCTACATGGAGATGCTGGGACTTAAGCCTGGAACCTTCCAGTGCTTTGCCAACAGAAGTGATGTTAAGTATTCCACACTGCTGAGTTCCACTAGCCATGGAAAAGCAGAGCAGTGGTGAAAGCACATCCCTCCAAGTCTTTCAACTGGCTGGATGGCTTCTGAGATGTCGACAGATATTGTTTATGTATTTCTAGGAGTACCTTTGCTGGAAACTCACTGCTTTGGGTTTGTGGTTAAAAGAGGTTGTTGAGCAGCTGAATTTGGGGCGTCTACCTTACTCCAGCCTCCCAGAGAACCAAGCTGCACACACTGCCCTGCCTCTCAGGGGTGTTGCAAGCCACCCCGAGGCTTTTTATGAATGGGGTGGCATAGAAATGGTTTAAATAAATAAATAAAATGAATATCATTAAACAACCAGATACGGCTCTTTTGTAGCAGTCTTTCCAAGCCCAGCACTCCAAAAGGTCAGGAGTCACAATCCAAACCATCTGGGGCCTGCCAAAGGGGCAAGGACACCACAGAGGATGAAGGCAACCACCAGAAAGCCCTCATCTGCGGCCCCAGGCCAGGAGCAGAATGGAGTCCTCTCCTGAGCCTCTTCCAACCTGAACCAGATGAGATCTGAAGGGAGGACTTCCAGGCACACCCACCTGCCTCTCTCACCACGTTTCTGCACCATATTCAAGCCAAGGTACGTATTTCAACCTCATCATTACCTTCTTCTCTGTCCTTCTCACCACTGTCTTCAAAAGAGGCCTCGAGATCACCTAAGATGCCGGGTAGATCGCTTAAGGTTACTGAACTTTTACTACCATGGGAGTCTGTGGGAGAGAGAAAAAGCAAAAATAAAATAAAGTAAAATAAAATCATGCATACCCCTGCGATTTGAAAAAGACTGAGAATTTAAAAAATTAGGGAGGTGGGGACTAAGATTTAGGAAGCTCACCCAAAGTTCTTGCGTTGCTTACGATATTTTGCTGCCGGGATAACAGAGGCTTCCCAGAATCTGCTCTGTCCTCCTAGAAGAGGATAAGAACTATACAGCAATCACAATACAATTGTATTGTATTTACAAATTTACCCCAATCACAGTACAACCCATATCCCCCAAATCCATTAGTAGAGGCACACACAGAGTGAGTGATAGCATGCAGGAGGCCAAGAACATGCTTTCGGAGAACCTGGCCCCAAATGTTTCCCAGGGAATCACTGGTCTGGGCTGTCTCCTCTAAGGGCAGATAATTCAGCTCCATCTCCCCCACCAGAAGATCGGAACTGCTGCAACCATCCCAAAAGCAGATGATGCAGATCCAGTCAGAGCAGCAGAGCTGCAGCAGGCAACTCCTTTCCAGAGTTGGGTCTTTGGGCCCTCCAAGGAGAGCAGTACTTCTCTCCTGTCGTACAGGATGCACAACACAATTAGGGAATTACTCTTGCCAAACAGCCACTGAAGAGGGAATCTGTCAGGCCTAAAATCCTATCATTGAACTGAATTACAAGACAATGTAATCTGAATTTACCGGAGACCACAGATATTTTTTCAATAGGGAAAAAAGGAAAACTTAAGGCATTTCACGACTGCTAAGCAACAGTTTTAATACTTCAAGTAAATCTGGAGGTTGAGCAAGTTCTGTCTTTACCTTTTTGGGAGCAGCTGCAGTGGCTGGAGGAACTGAAACATGAGCAAATTCTTCTGAAATGCACGATGGAGGAGGAGGAGAAGTGGCGGGCGTCCCTAATGGGGTTCCTTTCCCAACTACTAAATCAAAGGAAAGAAAAGACGATTCTTTTATGAGTGGCTCTCGCAGAGGCTTCGGCTACTTGCTCCATCACCTCAAGAACAAGCACCTCGGGACTTTAGGGGAACAATCTAATCGTTGGAGGCCACACTCAAATAAGAAGGGTGGACCTACTGGGTGTGCTAAAAAACTTGCTGCTAGGTTGGGATGAAGCTTGCGAAGACTCCAAGGCGACTCCGGGGGACGTGGGGGGAGTGGCCATGCCACAGACAGCAGAGGGGCTCCAGAAGGTCGCCTGAAAGAAGCACCGGAGAAGATTTCAGGATGGCAAGTACCAGGAATCGCACCTGCTAGGTGGGGCCGATGAAGGCATCACCCCACGGCAATATTCTCTCCCTGCACCGCATCTGCTACTTGGAAAGCAACCTCATGTTAACTGCACATCCCACAGAAACAAAGAACACAAAAGAAAGCGGGGTGGTGTGGTAGTTAGTGTTAGGCCAGGACTCTACTCCACCAATATCTAGGCACAATATTTTACATGTACTGAATTGTGCGATATTTGTATCCTGCTTTTTCTCCTGCAAGGATCCCAAAGTGGCTTGCATAATCCTTCGCTCCACTATATCCTCACAGCAAGCCAGTGTGGTTTACTGGCTGGGCTGGGGCTTAGGAGACCTTGGTTTGAGTCCCTGCTTGGCCAACTAAGTTATTTAGTCACAGCTAAATAACTCTGGGCAAGTCCCTGGCTTTTGGCCAAACGGCCCTCACAGAGTAATTCTGAGGAGTAAGAAGAGGGAGTATAAATCCTGCCTTGGGATCCTTGAAGGAAACAGAAGTATAACAAGAAAAGCCCAACATCTTGATTTATTCCATGATGGATCTCGTGAGCTCCGGAAAGGAGTTTCCCAGAGGCACTGACCAGATCAAGGCCTGCTCAGCCTCAGCCACGTGGCTTCAGGAGCAGACCCCTGGAACTTGCAGTAGGCAAAGGGCGATTCAGAGTAGAGGACTTCATGGTGAGAGTTACGGGGGCGAGGCTGGACACATTTTATGTGCTGGGTGCTGAAAAGCTGTGTGCTCAAATCGACTGTGCCTGCCAAACACAAAGGGCCAGGAGCACACTCACTGACGCCTCACCTGATGCAGGCCCCTTCAGCCAAGTCCGCTCTCAGCCTCCCCACTTCGGTAGCCCAACTGGCCAACCAGCGCCTCCACACAGAGGCAGCCAGCTAAAGCCGGAGCCTTCCGGTAACAGGGAGAAACACGGGTGGCTTGGATAAGTGCTGGGCATACAGAAAGCTACATACAGGGACTGCTGGATTCGATGGGGCAAGAAGGCGGCGCTGAGAGTCGCATCAGGGCCGATTCTCCCCGCTGCCCTTTTGACACACCACCAGCCACGCCCAGTGGCCCCACAGCGCAGCTCCTCACCTTCCAAGATCATTCCCACGGGGCACTGCTGGCCCTCCAAAATCTTGGGGGCTGAAACAGATGCCCTCAGTAGCTCTCTGCCACTGGAGCTGCCTTTCCCACTGGTCAGAGGCTCACAGCTTGGCACTGCTCATTTTAAGTGGCCCTCGGCAAGTCAGCTGAGAATTCCAGGCAGCATCTAACCAATCAGGGGCTTTCCTGCAGGGGACCCTTGCGCCTCCACCCCGCAGCGGGTTCAATAGCTCTACGCTGGACATGGCGGCAAGACGGAGGACCCCGTCTGGGACCCCAGACAGCCTCAGGCTTCACACTAAATAGCCGCTGCCCAGCACAAAGACCAAGTTTAACTGCCAGTGGCAGGATCTTCCCCTCCGCCAGCAGCTCATCTCATGCCCCAGGATGAACAGCATTACCTGCTGAGGCTCAGTTGACAGACACGAAGACTGAGAGTTCAAAATCTGAGGTAGATGCCCTGACATTCGCGATAGCGCTAGCTGAGAAGCAGAGTAAGGGGTCGAAGTTGATGCTCCTGTTTTCAAAAAAAGATGGGACATTAGAAAAGGAAATGGGATTATTTCTCCCAATCTCAGCGAAGCAGAAATCACTTCACATTCAACAGGGGCTGTTTTTAACTTTGCATTTGGTGTTCCTTTTACTCATTGATCTGGAGCACTCATGTGCTGCCTACTGTAACAGAATTCCCAATTTTTGAGTACACACTTAAGACCATGTAAGATATAATTGTCACAGAGAACACTAAAAGTTGATGGGCTGGACTGAGGAGACATTTCAGGATGGGCCCTAAAAGGAAAAAGGTGCTACCTTCGTAGTCTTCCCTCCTGGCTGCCCCTCCCTCTACCTGCTGCCAAAAGTGCTCCTAAGGAACACCCAAGGATGCCCACTGCTGTTTGGACAGTGAGCCTGAGAGCAGGGCTGGCCTGGCCCTTGAGCCTTGTAAGGCACGGGACACGAGATGTGGCTGGTACTGGGGTAACTGCCCGACAGCTTCAGCTGTGGGGCAGTATAGAAATGCAATTAATGCCACCCCTTCAGCAGGAGCACAGGATGAGGTTAAGACAGAGCTGACTGAGCCCCGGCACATGCCACAGGAGGTCACGGTTAAATCTGGCACAGAAAAGGGAGCTGTGCACCAGGTTCGGCCGATACCAAAATCAAAAGCATCGCTACCCTTTTGCATGCACAGAAAAGCTGAAAGAGGAGAGCACTTGCCCAAGGTACTGTGTGTAACATAAGGGCTGGCGTCAGGATCAGCTGGGCGTTGCTGAAAGTGCAGGCACAGCTGCTGGGATGCTGAGCAGCAACCGTCTTCATAGGAAGCTTCTGCTGGATCCAAGGAGATTTTGGCACATTCAATCACGACGTCGTGCGTTTCTAGTCTCTTCCACCTGTTTTAGGGCCCAACAACTGGTCAATTTTTGCCATTATGGAGCTTTAGAATCCCTGCAGGGCCAGCCCCACTGCAAGGACACTGCACAATAACCCCCCCCCCATTGTGGTTCCCCAAATGGCCACACGTATGCCCCCCCACTGAGGATGCTTCTGTTTGCCACAGCTTCTCTGCCCCATTCTAAAAGCCTGAAATGCCTCTCCTAGAGCTCGGCTACTTTCAGAATGAGCTTTAAACTCAAGCAGACAAGAAATGTCAGTATTGCGCCTTCAGCTCTGCCTGCCACTGAGATATTGCCCCCCCCCACAAACGTTTCTCCAAAATGGAGCCAAGCCCCCAGGATTAAGAGGGCTCTGTGCTCCAGCCCCCAGCAAAGGCTGAGCTTAGCTGCTGCCTTTGGCTTCTGTATGTGGGCTGAGAAGTAGAAGCCGTGGGAAAATAGAAGGTCTTTTTACTGGGATGTCCACCCTGCACCCTCAGGTTATGTACAGCCCAGCCTTCTCACTCCATCTCTGACGGGCCATGGCAGCGGACCAACAGAGAAGTGCCGGCACAGACGGGGTGCCTGCAGCAGCAGCAGAGGGCAGGCTGTGCAGTGGCGCGGGTGCAGCACGCCAGCCGTGCAGTCGCTGAATGACCCAATCCATCCTGTGACCTTCGACTTTTTTCATCAAAGAGCAGCCCTTAGCGCTCACAGAGAAGGCGGCCAATCCACAAATAAACCTTGTGGTGAGGGGTATGACACGAGGGCCGGAACTGATGAGGTGCTCATCAGTCGTCAGGAGCAGAAAGATCCTGGAAGGTTCTCCTGGGGATTCTTCCACTGGAAGGGGGAAAGGTTCAGCCCTCTGCTCCTGTTAGGACTCTCCTGAGGGAACTGGAAGTGCAAATACCTCCGTGGGTCCAGCTCATGATCTTTGGATCCAGTCACTAGCTCTGGGTGGATGCGCACATGTGCCATCATCGGCTGGAAGAGCAGAGAGAGAGAGAGAGAGGGGGGCATTTGTACAAGAGGAGGTGCACTGCTGGAAGCTGCAGCCAAGGGCCACATGACCTTTGATCTAACACAACGGCATTTTATGTTCTCTTACTTCCCGGCAGCAAGTGCTCTGCTTGAGCAGAGTTCTGTCTGTGCAACCTCCATGTTCCACACTGTGTTTAGAACCCGATAGCAAGGTTTACAATTTGAGAGGGAGAAAAGAGGGTACATTTCAAATGCCTCCTGAAGCCCCACTTGCTTGCTCAGGCGCTCAAGCCTTTACATCAATTGCAATTTATTTATTTATTTATTTATTTATTTATTTATATTTATTTATTTATTTATTTATTTATTTAACACTTTCATAGACCGTCCACCTACTGGTGTCTCAGGACAGTTTACAACAAGTAACAGACAAAAGGGCACAGCACCCAGTAATTCAATAATATAAAACTAATTAAAAATTAACATTAACGTTAATTAAAATTAAGTACATGTTGCTCCAACTTACTCTTCCTCGTTTTGCTTTGTAGTATTCCTGTAGCTGGATTTTAATATTTGAAAACCACTTAGATAGGATCATATAAATAGAAAAAAAATCGATCCAGAGCAGGGGTTGTAGGAGCAGCACGTTAGGGACACAGCAAGTTCTTTAATACAAAGAGTCAGACTTCTGCGCCACCGAAGACACGGTGCCTCTCCAGGGTTTCAGTCTCATTCTGGAAATGCCAGGGGACCTTCCACATGCAAGCCAAGCGCTTGACTGCAAAGCCCTGCCCCCCCCCCCCCCCCCCGCAACTCAGATCTGAATGAGCCGGGTCTGATTGATGGCTGGTCTTGGTTCTCTCTTTTAAAAACTGTTCCTGCTTCTCTCTTTTTCTTTTTGGCAACTGTCTGGTCATTCTAGTTATTCAGGTTCTGTTCATTTAAAGCAGCACAATTAGCGACCAACAATCACACTGCAAAAGGTACTTCAGTCTCCCAAAGGAAATGCCAAGACAGCTTGCTTGTTTACCTTGACCACATCTTCAAAGGTCTCCAGGTTTTCCTTCATACTGTAGTGAGAGCGCAGGAAAGAAACGAAGTTGCAAGGGTACATCCCATACAGGCGGTGAAAAAGGGCATAAACACTGGCATGGAGGTGGACTAGGTAGATCTCTGCCACATGACCTGGGGAAGGCGGGAGGGGCAGAAGACAGGTTAGGCTATCCCCTCTCACTCCGGTCTGCCTAAGGGCCAGGAATCCATGGAAGCACAGGGGGGAAAAGGCTCAAAATGAAATCGGCTATGCATGAGTGTGCTGCACAGAGACCACGAAGAAGAACTGGCCTTTTTCAAAGCCTCGGGCCCTTATGAGTACAGAGAACGCACTCAGGTTTTTTACTCTGTTGGCCCATACATACCACTTTCTCCAGAATTATTAAAGCTATAAACATTCGCCATCTCCATCAAAAAGCCACAAGACATAATTAAACTGCAGTGATGAGTGCCAGTCAGCTCAAGATGCCAGCTGGGTCACACTTCAGGGAAAGCTTGAGCAAAGGGACAGAAATCTTGGGCTGCCTCGTGATAGACAGCAACCTATTCCAGAGGACAGGCACCAGGCCCGAGTGCTCCAGGGCCACTGCTCTTTGGGTGAACCTCAGAAGAGCTCTTTGCAATCATTACAAAGATCAGGAAGGGCCAGGGCAGTCCGGAGATCTTGGAAGCAAGAGGGGTGCTGTGATGAAGCACCGGGTGCTGCTTCTGGGGCCAGCCTAACCCCTCCGCCACCTGCATGACTAGTGAAAGGACCACCAGTTTAAAATGGGCACATGCACAAAATAAGAAGTTGGGCGAGCCAGCACTGCCCCCAGCTGCCAACATGGCAAAGTAAGTTTGAAAGGAGTTTTGCCACGGCAATTTGGCTGAATACAGTGGCTTTCCGAGAAGAATCAAAAGCCAGTCCCCAAACTGCCCTGAACGACACAAAAGGAAAGGGGACTGGGTAGGAGCATCAAGGCAGGCTAGACTGGAACTGGGGGAGGTTTCTCCCAGTGATGGGGCCCAACGCTTGCACAGCTCGGCCCCTGAATCAAGTGGCTGGCATACTCCATTCCGGGATAACCTCTGCCAGCGGAGGGGGGCTCAGCTTCTATTTATCATTTAATGTACTATTTAAAACATTTATATAGCATCCCTATTTAGTCAGTGACTCTTGGGATGGTTTACAACACTGGTCATCTTCCTTTTCTTGGCTATCTTTCTTCAGCGGAACAGAGCACACACACTGCGTTTACTGGACCAGCTTGCTGGAAGAGCAAAGGCAAGGGCAGAACCTGACTGAGCACTTTTGGCTCCGCCAGGTCTCACGTGACCTGCTGATTCTGCTGCCTGACCACACAGTGGCGTGAGCAGATTAACGGAGCTTCAGCACTTCCCAGAGAAACCCCTGAAATGAGCAGGAGCACTTGTTTCCTGGAAGGGACCGCTTGGCAGAGGTCCGTTAGCATTTTCTTGTAATTCCCACTGTCCCCAAAATGCTAAATCTTCCTTCAGCAAGGGGTGGGTTGCACTCGGGGTTGATTAACTGAAAGGGTGCGAGGGAACCAGTGGATGCACGAATGTATACACAAGTGTGGGTGGCTTAGATAACACATTAATGCATCCAGAACAAGGACCATTAGATTTAAAAACTATGCTAAAGTTTTATTTGCTAATGTGTTCGCTGAAAAAGGAAATGGGATATATTCATGAAAGAACATCCATGGCTTTCAGGAGCAAGCATGAAAAAGGCCCCAATTCTCCCTACTTTCTTGCTGAAAACCAACAGAGAAGGCATCCCAAAGGCCTCAACTGTGGATCTTTAGGAGTCACTTGGGCTACATGAGCCAGTTCTGGTCTAATTCAACCCAATGCAGTTGTTATATCCAGGTCCAGAATGCCAGTCAGAAGGCTGAGCTGCTCCTCCAACCTAGAAACAACAGGGTGACCTGCTCTTCATCACTGAGGTGCTTAACGTCTCACCTGGGTTCTTCGAGTACCAAGAGGAAAGGCGGCCAAAGATCCCAAAAAAGTCATGAAGATGCTGTTTCCCAGACTGGGGAATCATTGGCAGCATTGTTATTAACACTAGCACACCGGTCGTGAGGACCACCACATCCGTGTCAGTCTGCAAAGGGGAAAAAGCAAGCGACAACTGTCCCTCTGTTCGCAAGACCACAATGCCCCAGTGAATGAGCCACGAGGGCCAACAGAGCCCGATTCCATTCCCCTTCCTGTTCGGTGGATCTTATCAGCAGCATGTCTGCCCCATCACCAAGACAGACAGGGCCTTGTGTGTAGGGGCACCCTGACACTGAGGTAGGGTGCCTCTCTCAGGGAGGTTAGGCTGGCTCTGCCTTTGGTTATCTTCAAGGAGGTTGCAAGTCCTGTTCTACTCTGCCCAATCCTTGTCACATTTTAAGCTCTATTGCTGGCTTAAAAGAAGAAAAGGATGGTTCTGCTTTCCTTTTACTTGTCAACGGATTCTGTTTTGCTGTTTCTTGTCACCTATTGCCTGGAGGGGAGTGGGTGGGCAAAAAGGACACTTATAAATTGTTTTCCTAAATTAGTCTAAATGCATTTCTACAGACTTTTAGCACAGAATGCATGTTACACTCTTTAAATGAGATATAAGAAGTTATTATTGAAAGGCAACACAGTATCACCACTAGAATCATGTTTGCACACAGGACATACACACAAAAGCATGCTATACAGAGAAACTAGTATTTCAGGCAAAGACTGGGCAGCTGTCCGCTAGTTTTCTACTTGCAGGGAGTTTTGTTTCACTCTTCCTTTGTTTTTAAATAAAAGGAACCATTCTGTAAGTATTTTTCACCACTAAACTCCCATAACCAGAGAGTTACTTTGTTTTGTATTTGCGTCCTCACTTAAAAAGCTCTTATTCAAACTACCAGAGCATAAAACTTCCTTCAAAGATGGTGAACCAAGGCTGAGAGCAAGGGACTGGGTCAAAGCTCCCCAGCAGTTTTACAGCAGGAGCTCCTGTGGCCGACAACTACCGGAGGCAAGAGGTGGGCCTGCCCAAACCCAATCTTCCAGGGGCGCCACATCTCGTTCCCCACACATAGATTATTTAGGTCATGGCCCTCCAGATGTTTTGGCCTGCCACTCCCAAGATCCATCACCATGGCTTATGCTGGCTAGAGATGCTGGGAGTTAAATGTCAAATTGCTACCTGCTCCAGTGTGACAACAAGATGGCTCAACAGGGAGATCAGGCAAAGATTTGGGTAAGTATGCTTTGCCAGGTGGCCAGTCTTGGTTTGGCACTCCTGTGCAAGACACAAGGACAGGACTAAGTCCAAAGGTTTTCTTTCCTTACGGCACTTCAACATGATGGCCTCTGCTGCCATGTACACGAAAGAGGGACTGCAAGAGCAAAGCACCCATACCTTAAGACACTTGAGCAACGAAAGCAGGACGGGTGCTTGAGAAAGCTTATGTTTCCAAGATGGCTGGCGCCGTACCACATGGCCAAGCAGAGAGAGGGTGGAGAGGCGGGTTGTAGGCTTACTCATGCATTCATTGATTTTGTCAAGAAGGTGCTAAGAGAGTGGGGGGGGGGGGGAGAGAGAGAAAACTTGTAATAAGAGCTGAAAGCACACTTCAGGTTTCAATAGAGGAAAACCCAGATGTAACACTAAGCCCACCATCATCTCCCACCCTTCTGCAGAGACAAAATTATTTACAACCTTAAAACCCCCTGCATTTCACCACTCCTACTAAAAGGAAACTTAGCAGATGCACGCCAAAAGGACTGTAGACAAAAAGGGCCACTAAGAAACAAGAGGGAGGTCTCAGCATCCCTGAGGGCACTCTAATGTTTGCTAAAGTGCAGAAGATATTTAAGGAAAAAATCGTAAAGGGGCAAGTGTCAATGTATCCCAGTGAGAAGTAGCAATCCTTCCCCTTTGGCACATAGTTACTACAGCAATCTTCCAGTTCAATGAGACAAGACAAATGTTTAGAATTGCCCTTCTGTTCACCATTTCTAGAGAAACATTTTTATCACAACATTTGTTTTACCTTGTCATGCGGCTCTTGAAGAGTGGACAGGATGCACAACGCTTGCTCAGAATTGGTTGCCAAGTAGTAATCTACCAGGGTATTTACGAGCATAGGCCCACGGTCTGTCATGGTTATCAGACACAAAAGAAAACACATTAGAAGTAAATACAGGCAGAGAAGAGTTCTTCGTCAGAAGAGATCTGTAGAATTCTAAATAAGAAAATGCAAAATACAATACTCCACAGTTTCATCTCTTTCCAGTTTGGCTTGAAAGATTTAAATGCAGACTGAAAAACTGTGATTTAGATTTACTGCCTGGGTTCAGACACAACAATAACCCACTGAGTCTTCATTGTCACTTAACTATTCGAGGCTTTTTGCGAATGGGGCGGCATAGAAATGTTCTAAATAAATAATAAACTATGAGTGGTTCTTGATACATGGATTATTGTATTATCTGAACCCAGCCACAACAACAAGCCATGCCTTATTTACCATGAACGAATCACGAAAGGAATGCACGGTTTCTTGTTGGGTTGTGAACTATGGGTTGTTCACAGTTAAACTTTGTTAGCATGGGTGGCTTTAGACACACATTAACCCACATTTCAAGAACTATACAACCCAAGTTTAACTACTGGGTTGAATGGCTTATTGGGTGGCCTGAACTCAGCCAGTAAGTCCAAGTGGCAGCTTTTCAGTCTGCAATTATGTATTTCAAGCTGTGCTGGCTTGGGACATGCTAGCAATTGTAGGACATTTCCATTTAAACATGCAGAGGATTGTGCCTTAAATGGCTTTTGCCTTGGTTTTTAACGTTTCCAGACCCCTTTAACCTCAACCAGCAACGTCTGGACTGCTTTCTACATCTATTTTTCCTCCCTCCCTCCATTTCAACACTGGCACACAGGCACTAAACCAATGCCCTTCAGGGTTGCCATTAGGGTAGGGCGCTGTCCCCACCTGCTGCAGGCAGCGATGCAGCAGCTGCGGTAGCTAGCATGCGAAGTTCAAAGAGACTGGGCGGATGTGGCCCGTACCTACCCGAATTTAGATTCTCTCTGAATGCAGCGGTTATATCTTCCAGGACAGTCAGGACTTGAGAATCAAGCATGGTGAGGAGGTCACCAATATTTGCTTGCTGAGCCATCCTGCCTCCTACCGTGTGCTGTCGTGCATGCTACTGTGACCGCACGAGGCACAACTTCTATGGGTTCCTCATTGGTGTTCCTGTTAAACTGAGGTTCAGACAAACACAGGCTTTCAACATGTTCCTTTTTGGTTTTCAACTGCTCATGATTCTTTATACCGTCACTTTCAAGATATCCATTTGGAAGAGACAGCTGGTCAGAATAAACACCCCCTTGACGCAGTGATGTTCAAAGCACAGCTTTGAAATACCACAAGAAAGCATGCGCCTATGCATGCGCACGTGTCGGAAACAGACAGACGAGACTAAACAGGGAGCTCCACACCCATGCATTAAAAGCAAAACGGAAACCCACTCCTCTGGACATGCTAGCCAAAGCACCTTCCAGAGGCAGTGTAACACGTACGGAACTGGATCCGGTTGAAATTAGGAAACAGAGTTTACGGAGAGCGAGCATCCACTGAGCTTTGTTTGAATTCCTCAGCGGAAGGGACAGGTTATAAATCTAAACCATCCAGATGTCTGCTTAAGTGGCTCTTTGCCCTGTTGTACCACAGCCTGCAAGATCACCCACCATTTATGCACAAAATCTGTTTCATAAGGGTATACGAATCTGCAGGAGTGGATTCTTGGCTTTGGAATGGAATTTTGAGGAAGAGCCTTTTAAATAAACTGAATTTGGTGGCCAAGAAAAGTAAATTTCCAGGGACCAGAAGCCACCAGGGGCCACACCCCTGCAATTAGTAATCCCTTCAATAAAACTATTTCAAGTAATTGCTGAAAAACGTTTGGTTGACTCTAAGTAGGAATGCTCAAAGAATTAAATCTCTGCACCTTCCAGGAGAAAGGGGCATGATCTGCCCCTCCTGGGTCGATGAGCAGAGCAGCAGCTACCAGATGCTGCAGCCCGCTCTCCCCTCCTCCCCCTGTGTGTTCCAATGCCGTTCTCTCATTAAAAACCATTATTTAAATGCTTTTAAATGCTCCATGAGGAAACATGCATTCATATGAGTGTGCACTATTTTTTTAAAAAATGCTGATTGATGCAGAAATGAGATGGAAAAGACATCTGGGTGAATACCTGTGAAAGAGACACGAAAGAGAGTGATTTGTTCATCTTGAACCAGAAGGTGCTGCCAACTGGTCAGCTGCTTTTACAAAATTTGCAATATTCTATAGAAGTATTTAAAGACTGGGTGACAGGTACCAATTAAGGGAGACACTTTCCCTTTCATAAAAGGAAATGACTTTTCCAAGATGTACCTGCTCTGATAGATGCATGCATCATTAAAAAGAAAGTGCATCTTTCTCCATGACTAGCTCTCACACGCAGATGTACAGGGATTTAGAACTATTAAAATGGATAGGGCTCAGCAATTAAGATTGTTTAGATTGGGCAACAACCCTAAGATTAATTACTATAGTGTTACCTGCTCTGTGCCCTCAGGATGGGGTGGATTACAAGTCCAAGACAGAAACCAACCCTTTTCCAGTTAGGTAATCACCTCCACACACTGCCCTTGGCTCTCTGAAATTTATCAGATCAAGAACCGATCATGTTATCTGTGGTAGGCAGGAAAAGTAATCGGTTTTATTTATAAAAGATGTTTATCCTACTTTATTGCACACAGCCTCAAGGTGGTTTATAAGGTTAAGCACAAACATTTAAAAAGAGATCACAAGAGCAGTACAGCCAGCCAGCAAAGTCAATTAAGAAACACCATAATAATAAAATGCAGATTAAAGGTTTAAGACTTTAAAGACCATTTTAAAAAGTGTGACAGAACCAAGCATGAATTGCTTGGTGCCTTGATGACAGACGCAGGTATCCCAGGGAGATGGTATAAACGGGATGCCCTCACTGACAATCCCTGCCACACCGATGCTTTCCAACCCCAGATGCTGAGGTCCTAATAAAATGAGGGGCCAAATTCCATTTCAGAAAAAATCCTGGGGGTTCCATTCTGGTGATAGGCAAGGCAAAACGGGCAAGGCTAAATGCGATGGCAACTTGCTGCCAGTAATTCATCCTTAGGAGAACTATTCCACAAGCACTTTTTAACATTTGAAGGATTTAACATATTTTTTAAATCTTTATGTCAATTTTGCAGAAGGTAAAGTCTTTATTCATTATGCTTATATCCTGGCTCTCCTTCATGGAGCCCAAGGAAGCCTCCAAGGTGTCCTCCTTCCTCCTCTCCATTTTATCCTCAGAGCAACCCTGTGAGGTAGGCTAAGAGTCAGTGACTGGCCCATGTCACTTGATTAGCTGACTGGGGACTTAAGCTGGTATTTTCCCAGTCCAACATTCTAACCACCACACCAGGATCTATTTTGCAAGGTAGCCCAGAAAGCTGTGCATCAGGCTAGATGCTTAAAGTTGAGCACCTTGCAATATCCAAGACCTAAGATTTCTCCCCTTAAACTCATACTGGCAAAAGCTTTCTGCTCCTGTCCTGCCCTTCAAAAGGAGGGGGAAAGCGCTCAACCAACTTGATTCTATTTTTGCAGACACCGATTTCCTAGCAAGCAGCAAAATGGGGACATATTTTTATCTTGCAACACCAAAAACTAGGATGAATGCCTGGAGCCAAGTCATGCTGGCGCTGGCCAAGTCAGCTGGATCACTGCCACCCTTGTCTCTGGCTCCAGCGTCATCAGCCTTCTCACTGCAGTTTCGACACTGTGCAGAACGTTGCTAGGGATGGAAGCACAGAATCTCATTCCATGCTAGACTCAAGTGCCAACCATTTTTAAGCATGGCGCTGCTGCAGAACAGAGACATGAGTCTCTGTTCCGGACTTAAGGGAGGAGCTAAGCTGCACGAACTAATTGTTTCCATTAAGAATCTTCAGAGCTTTTCTGAACAGAACTCATAAATGTGTGCAAAAATGGAGCTGGGAGCATGGTAACAGAATGGAATTACCTATTCCAGGCTGAGGGCCGTATATTTGATATTTCCTTGTGGATAAATGACCCGTCAGCTAGAGCAGGCTAATGTAGAATGGCTCTGCCTATTGTGCAAGTGTTTTTCTTCATGCAAAGGAGTCTAAACTTAATGAGCATCCCACAGCTGTAGCCTGTAGTGCAGGTGCAGGAAACTTCTGGTCCTCCAGATGTTGCTGGACTGTAGAGTTCACCAGCTTTGGCCAGAAGTGCACAGCCACTGATGAGAAGCATTGCAGTCCAACAATTAGGGGTCCACATGTTCCACACCACTGCTATACCTATATAGCCACCCCAGTGCATTTCATACATAGGTCCAGGCCAGAGACACAGCCAGCAAGTGAAGCACAGAAGTTTCAAAATTCTTTACCTGGTATGCTGACAAGTGGGCTCTCGCTTTCCACTGCTATCAATCTGACCCTTTTCATGATCACAGAACTGGAAAAAGCAGGGGAAAGATTGATGAGTAATATTTATTTGATGAGTAATATTTAAATCAAAGATTTATTGAGCATCCACAGCGGCCAAACCACATCCTTGCACTTCAGGGCTCTTTGCAGTGTTCTTGCCTGCCCTACAAAGGCAAGCAAGCATGGACGCACAGAAGCACAGAGTTTGAAACAACTGGAAGCGAGAGCAGAATTTATCCTTTATAAGCAGCATATTCCCATACGTATTACACCCCTCTACACTGCACAAAATACATGAAATGAAGGATGTGCACTTTCAGTTCAGTAGAGCTGAACTGAAAGAGCCTGTATAAAAAGAGAAGGATTCTACTGAGGAAAATGGTAACTTAAGAACGTATTGTTTTAAATGCTTTCTTTACATACCCTGACTTGGCAATTTTAACACCAGGAAACAGCCAGAGGCCACCAGCCATGGCTGCTGGTCAAGATTCTCAAAAGAAGATCTGCTTTAAGAATTCAGATTAGAAGCACTCAGCGCTGCGGGCCAAGCCAAAACTTCCAGGGGTGCCACATCTCCTTCCCCAAACACAGATTGATTGGTAGTTCCTTGCTTCTGCGCTGTTCTTTTCCTATTCAAAAGGGCAGAATTTGGATTGCAAGAGGGCTGGATTTTGCCCCTCCACCCTGAGGTCCTCCTCACCCTGCACCAGAGCACTGAACAAGAAAAAGTGGACCTACATCCAATGCTACATTCCCTGCCTGCTGAGGTTTGGGCAGCACCTTGTGTACATATGCAAACTGCTTAGAACCCTCCTATTTTAATAGTTCATGAACTTTTGTGGAGGTTCTCGCACAAATGTTCCTAGAACAGTACTTGGAGCCATGTTTATACTTCTCACTGTTCCTTGGATCCAACCCTACAGATTTCAGCAGTCTTTGCTTCAGTCTGTCTTAACTAGCTATGTGTAAAGTAGGGAAAGACTAGAAAATTTAAGGAGTAATATTTGTCCATCTCTCCTTCCTCCCACCTGCCCCCATCATCAGACAGTGGCTTCTCACAAATGAACTGGGAGCTCCACGAGCAGCAGGTTTCGTCTACCACTGACTTGTGGCCCTACCATTGCAGTTAGAGGCAAACCAATTCGTATCAGCCCGATGAACAAGCCCCTAGAAGTTCCTGCTCCCCCACCCAGTGCTACTGTGCACCTTTTTCTGAGAGCTAATATACATTCCTATGTCAAAGAGTTGTGCCTTAAACAAAGCGAGCCAATCAGCCTATTTACTTGAAAGGAATGAATAGTCCATAAGGCATCCAAAACATTGGCTGATGCAAGTTGACAAAGTAGTTCTGCCATGCCATCCAGGACCTAAGGACATGACAACTCCCTTGCCTTGGAGGTGCTCAAGAGAAAAATTATGTAGGCCTTTGTCAGAGATACTTTTAGCACAGGCTGTCCGACTTCAAGGGAATAGAGCATGACCCATCCCAGAGGAATACAGGCACTGCCATATGCAGTGAGCAGAAGTGCAATATGCCAGCTAAGGCTGATGGCACCCGTAGGCCAAAACAGCTGCAGGGCCCTAAGTGGCCCATCTCTACCACAGATGAGGAGTTAGCATAGCCTGACAGCAAACAGCACAACCCAGGAGCCCCTCAGAGGAATCCACCAGGGAATTCCTCAGTGGGAGGCACATTGTTGTTGTTGAGTCGCAAAGTCACACCCAACTCTTTACAACCCCAGGGACAACACTCCTCCAGGCTATCCTGTCTTCCACCATCCCCCAGAGTCCACCCAGCCCCACACCCACCACCCCAGTGACCCCATCCAGCCACCTCAACCTCTGCTGTCCCCCTTCTCCTTTTGCCTTCAATCATGCCCATCATCAGGGTCTTCTCCAAAGAAACCCTCGTTCTCATTAGGTGGCCAAAGTATTTGAGCTTCAGCTTCAGCATCTGTCCATCAAAAGAACAGTCAGGGTTGATTTCCATTAGGATTTGATCTCTTTGCAAGTCCAAGGGACTTTCCAACACCACAATCGAAAAGCATCAATTCTTCAGCGCTCAGCCTTCCTTATGGTCCAACTCTCACAGCTATACATTAGAACTGGGAAAACCATAGCTTTCACTACACAAACCCTTGTTGGCAAGATGATGTCTCTGCTTTTCAGCATGCTTTCTAGATTCGTCATAGCGTTCCTCCCCAGGAGCAAGCATCTTTTAATTTCTTGGCTGCACTCACCGTTTGCGGTGATCTTGGAGCCCAAGAAAATAAAATCTGTACTACCCCCATTTCTTTCCCATCTATTTGCCAGGAAGTGATAGGGCTGGATGCCATGATCTTAGTTTTCTTAATGTTGAGTTTCAAGCCAACTTTTGCACTCTCCTCCTTCACCCGCATCAAGAGCCTCTTTAGTTCCTCTTCACTTTCTGCCTCTAGAATGGTATCATCTGCATATCTGAGGTTGTTGATATTTCTCCCAGCAATCTTAATTCCAACTTGTGATTCATCTAGCCCAGCTTCTCGCATGATGTGCTCTGCATATAAGGTAAACAGGCAGGGCGACAGTATACAGCCTTGCCATACTCCTTTCCCCATTTTTTACCAATCGGTTGTTCCATGTCCAGTTCTAACTGTTGCTTCTTGACCCACATACAGATCTCCCAAGAGACAAATAATATGGTCTGGTACTTCCGTCTCTTTAAGAACTTACCACAATTTGTTGTGATCCACACAATCAAAGGCTTTAGCATAGTCAATGAAGCAAAGTAGATGTTTTTCTGGAACTCCCTAGCTTTCTCCATGATCCAGCGTATGTTGGCAATTTGATCTCTAGTTCCTCTGCCTCTTTGAAACCCTGCCTGAACTTTTGGTAGTTCTCGATCCATGTACTGTTGGAGCCTAGCTTGCAGGATTTTGAACATAACTTTGCTAGCATGTGAAATGAGTGCAACTGTATGGTAGTTTGAACATTCTTTGGCACTGACCTTCTTTGGGACTGGAATGTAAACTGACCTTTTCCAATCCTGTGGCCACTGTTGCGGCACATTAAAATTTGGCAAATGTTTTTTGTGCCCGAAACAAACAAGTTCCACCCTTGCTCAGGCCTTCAGAAACAGTGAGAAGTCTTACCTATGCAGCTGGTATAATATCAGGGAGGAAGCCTGCCTCTCAATTCAGTTTTCACATGGGGGAAGGCTGGGGGCAATGAGAAAAACAAGAATATCTGGCTATCAAGAACAGCCAAAGCCAGTTCAATCCACAGGATGGAACTCACTGCATTCTGGGGTAGCATTTTTAAATCCATGCACTATGCTGTAGTTTTAAACCATTTGCTAACCAAAGTTCCCTGGGTGGTAGACAAAACACACAGTGAAAAATAAAACTATTTCACCACGTAAAATTAGAACCAGCAACAGAATAAAGTACTAAAAGCATCAAAAACACTTCTAAAATGCCTGAGAGAATAAAAAGGTTTTTTACCTAGCACCAGAAAAATTCTAACATAAGCATCAAGGGAACCTTCCTGGAGAGAGAGTTCTGCAGAGAGGGCACCACCACTGAAAAGGCCCTATACCAATAGAATGCCACAAATCCTCTACCAACAACACAGCATCAAACAGTAAAATCTGAATGACACATAAATGTAAAATAGTTATGCTGTTAAGTTCCAGAAAATACTGCCTTTGCCTGGCGCTGAAATTCAACAGGGTCTCAAACAGAAACCTTCTAAATGGAAAAGGCAGCAGTGAAGGAGAAACAAAAAGCGAAAGCTTTTGGAAAAGTCAAATCAAGAAAAGCCGACAAACTCTTCTGGTTGTCCTCACCTTTCTGCTTGGCTGCATGAGGAAGACAGCCGTTCAGATAAATGAGAAATAAAACCTCAAGGACCCTTAACCACACCCCTGCCTCCTCCCTCTTTTGTACCAATAGAACTATGGTCATGCAGTAAAGCTGACTGAGGGCAGGATCAGGAGAAGTGAGAAAATGTTATCATGCATGCACTTTCCCACCAAGCTTTCCAGCAGAGAATGCATGGGGATCAGACTTAATGAAGCTTTAAAAAAAAAGAATTAGCGTACTGTTTGTAAGGCAAGGTTTTCCCATTCTGTTTCAGCTGTTCTTTACTAAATAGTTACTAATATTTATGCAAGAACGTACAGTATTAAGTAACTGCAATTTCTGTACATCTAGACATATTCAACTTTCAGTCCTTCCATCTGCTTGAGGTACCACCACCTTCTGTAGCATGTGAAAGGAACTGATGCTTAGCTGTGCTAATATACAGAAAAGTAGAGAAGCTTGTTTCAATATGCATAAATAGTACATTTTCTGAAGCCCAAGGAACTAAAAATGAAAGTCAATTTGGGTAAGTTTATTCTTACTAGACAATGAAGTGTTGCTTGTGGCTCTCACCTCTTTCTGGTGAACAGGCATTACACAGTTTTGTGTGGTTTCTGCAGTTCCTCAGTAATGCTGACAGGAGAGGAAACTGCTTTTAAGGCCAAATAAAAACACTTTCATTTTGTTTACTATTTGTTTGACAGTTTCTATTTTCAATTTTATGGTTACCTATTTTACCAACTAGCAAAAAACAAAGACATGCTTCAGTATCCTTAGGTGTGGCAGTCTGCTATTCTATCCACAACTCTAAGCCATGTTCTATGTTAATCATTTGTTGTTTTAGCCATCAAATGTTTTGCTGACCAGCAAATAAACGGCAGCACATATGCCCCATTTCTGGTTTGTTTACTCCCGTTTTTTGCCATCCACCAGAGGTGTTTCTTCTTCAGGTGAATGTTGCCAGGCACTCTGTTTCAGGGTTCAGGTTAGGCACAAATGAGTCAGGAATAATCTATGGCTCTGGATTCAGACATCACAAATCCAACAGGAACCCATGTTTTGGAGGGTTTTCCTGTAGTTAACAGAAAGCATAATTTGTTGGTATGGACTGTTCCAGACACAACAACCTGATTTCAACAAAGCACACCATGGCTTGGTGTTACATGCAAACTGGATCAGTAACAACTGCCTGAATAAAATTAAAGCATTCATACTTCTAAACTGCACATTTTTCAGAAGAGTACAATTTATTTACTGACTTATATTTAGCATACTATATATATTTAGAGTGACAACAAATGAGTAATTACATATACTTCAATATATCAATATGCATTTTATTTCCAAACTTTGGGAAAATTGAATTTGTCCAGGATTTGACAATCACCAGACATTTTGCAACACTCTTCAGACACCTTTCAATAATTTTCCTTTCCAACCTCCCTAACCCAAACACTTTGAATAGTTTGTTTCACTGCCATTTAAGCCAATACACACACCCATTTTGTCATAGTTCTTTACCTGTCGAATCTCATCTCACCTCCCCCACTCCACTTGGCAGGATGATACAGAAAATCAAACTCAACCACAAACTAACAGCTCTCTCTGGGTCTGGTTATCCATACAAGTTAAATACATCAGACATATTGTAATGGTAGAAAGATCACCCTAATTCATACACCAATAAGTTCTTAATGCACCATGATATACAAAGTCTATTCTCTCCAAATCCATTATATACTTGCCTTTTCAGAAGTGTATGCCTATATGCCATTTAGTCACCATCTAAATGCCACAATCACCCACCTCACTCCTCTAAGACAAAGCAAACAAGCATCTTCCTGGATGGTGTTCCTATTTTTTAACAAATTAATTTTAGGACATAAAGGAAAAACACAGCCTTGAAAAATAATAAAATATACTACCCTAGCCCTGTCTATAACTGCAATCCTGAACTTACTTACTAGGAAATATGCCCCATTAAATAAATAGCAACTTCTAAGAAAACATGCACAGGATCCAGCTATGAGTGGATAATCTAAGGAAGTCTATGAAGTTCCTTCATAGTCCTGATGGGACAGGACTAGCAACCCAATAGCCTAGCATTTAACTTGTGAGCTTGACTAGCTCATCATCTCACCTGGGCTGAGGATCACCGACTTAGATGGCTTTAGATGGAACTAATTCAAGGAGAATATGCTTATAACCACCAACCAGGATGTGACTTCCAAGTCTGATTATCAGTTATGGGGAAACAGCAAGAAAAGGGCCAGCACATCGGTCCTGTTTGCATGCTTCCTATGATTGTGCAGTTGGCCACTGTGGGAACAGGGTCCTCGATTACATGAGCTTTCAATCTGATGAAACAAAGTTCTTCAAGTGTTCTGAAGCTCCTTTGAGACAAAAGCTTCCTTTATTATGTTACTCTTTAAGGAACCATGTTCACTGATAATAGAGAGGCCTATAAACTTAGAAATACTAACCAAGAAAGGGCTAAAAATACCCCTGAAGAATACCTTGCATATACTCTGAAGGAATACTCTTATTTTAAACTAAGGATTCATTTTATTTTGAACAGGATATTATTAGTAACAAACTAATTGAGAAATATTGCCCTGAGGTAGGTTAAGTTGGTCTGTCATTTTGAGAAATTAACAATGGTTGGAATTAGTAACCATCCGACAAAAGCCACCAGTCCCCCACCACCAGAGAGAGAGAAAATGTTTAAATACAGCATACATTCTCCTTGAATACCCTCCACCAACAGTTTGGCATTTTCCTCTCATTTAATCCAGAGATCCAAAAGAACAATAAGAGAACCAACATGGCTGATTATGCCTGAAACAGAGTGGGACTCAACTACAGAGAGACAAAAGGCCACTTTGTTCCTTTAGTTATGTGCCCATCTAGATTAGGACTGGTCAACAGGATGTTTTTCAGAAGAGAATGGGTGTTTTGAGGTATTTTTTTTAATTGCCATATAAGAAATCTACCTTCCATTTTCAAAAGAGGTTACTCATCTGTTTGGCATTTAAATGAATCCCAGCTGAAGGGTTCCTTAGAAGTAAGAGCCTCCTAATTTAGAAGAAAGGGATGGAAACCACACACAGACCTGGAGTGCTACAGCTCACTTGAAATGGAGGATGGCTGAGCAGATAAACTTAACACATGAAGGTGTCAACAAACACACCTTCACTTATTCTGTGTACCTTCCTCTTCCGCTCTCAGTAATTCACCATTTTCCCTTTCCTCTTTATTCTACTCTTTCTTGCTCACCTCCCATTTTCCCTTGTACCATAACTTCAGCCATATTTTTGCTCTTTCACTTCACAAAGTTCTCTACACTCTGTCCACTTCCACTGAGCCTAGCCTACCTCGGAGGGATGTTCTAAGGATGAGTGAAGTTTACATACAGCAAAGCCATTCAACCATGTAAAATTACTAAGTATCCATCCTTTCCACTTCCCCTTCTTGTACACCATTCTTCTCTCAGTTTCTCCCCACTTCCATAACTCCCTTCTCAATTCTCTTCTCACCCCCCGCACCCCAATGTGAGAATCAAAGCCTATTGCACCCTCCCTCCTTATTGAATAAGTTAGAAAAATAACATACTCGAAGCATTCTGAACACTGGAGAGCACTACAAAAACATCACTTCACAACTCATTTTGTTTCTCCTCTGCTTCTACACCAGCCTCATCTCATTTCCCACTCTACTTACCATCCAGCCCACATACCCTACCTCTTTTCTTGCAAGGAGGCCAAAGCAGCTTAACACAAACCTCTTCCTCTCCATGCCATGCTAACAGCAGCCCTGCATTGTATGTTAGGCTGAGAACCACTGACCAGCCCAAACTCACCCAACGAGCTCCACAGCCAAGCCAGGATTCGAACTCAGGTCTCCCGCCTGCCAGTCCCACATCCTCACTACACTTCCCGGTTATCGTCCACTACTTTCTTCCCTGCCAGACCGTTCCCTCCTAGCCTCCCTTTCAGGGCTGTTTTCCTTTGTTTTTTTAAGAATGATCAAGACGCTGTAAGCAAAGCTGTCCAAGAGTCGACTAAGGACTGCTACTTGAATGCAAATCAGTCCGTTATCATAATACAGATACCGCTCTTCTGCCTCTACACAATCCTGCACTGCCTTCCCGACGACCTAGCCCCCCCCTTTCCCAACACCCCTTTTCCACAGGATTTTATTCTGCCCTCTTCTCTGCCTCCCCTCCCCCTTAACGCCCCCTCCCCCTTTTCTCCTCCCTTTCTCCTCCTCTCATTCATGTATCCTTTCTTCTTCTCTCTCCCCGCTTCTTCCTTCCCTCTCATCTCAGCCAAAAATACTCACCCGCTTTTCCGTCTTCTCCTCCCCCCCTCAGCTGTTTACCACTCAGGACTCTTCTAACCCACAGGGCGCCGCCATCTTGGCCCTTCCACTCTCTTTGACGTCCTGATGGGGATCCCTCCGCAGCTTCCACTCCCCCCTTTAAAGAAAATAGTCCCACCGGCACAAGCGCTCGCGGCGCCCGCCTGCCTTAAACCAGCGGGCCCAGGGGCTTCCCTCACAAGCACACTCACTTCCTTCAGGGCATTACGTGTAGAGAGGGGGACGGGCCAAAGGAATACCCGGGAGAGGGCGCGGAAGGATCCTCCGTTATCGATACGATGTACGCCAATAAGACGAAAAGGTCTCGTGATTCTTAGGGGAGGCCGCAAAAGGAGGCTCGGCACGAGTCACGTGACAGAGTCTCACGGGGAGCGTCCGGAAGAGGGAAGGGGATCCAGTGGGTGGTAAACAAGTCTCTCAGGGGGCGGGGCCTAACGAGCTCCTGAGAAGGGTTGGGCGCGGCAGAGCCACGCCCACTCTGTCGCCATTGGCAACTGGGGCCTGCCCCAGCCTGCAGCCTGTCTCAATTTGTATACATTAGTGCTAGAACGGGCGCTCCAACTTGCCACTTGTGAAAGCAAAAAACAGGGTTTTGCGACATTTGTATGAAGCACCACCTTTCTCCTCCTCATTATTATTATATTTATATCCTACCTTTCCTTTTGAAAGAAACCCAAAGAGGCTTCATGTTCCCCATCCTTTCCATTTCATCCTCACAACAACCCCCATGGTATCAGAGGCAGCAGCTGGCTCAAAATCTCCCAGAGAGTTTCATGGCTGAACTGTATTGCTTATATAACGTTCAGCTCCAGTTTTCATCCAACTTGGTGCCCTCCAGATGTTTTGGAGCACAATTCCCAGCATTCCTAACTACTGGCCATACTGGCTGGGGCTGATGGGAGATAATTTATTATTATACTTGTATCCTGCATTTTTTCCATCAAGGACCCAAGGCAGCTTACATGGTGGTCTTCCTCTCCATTTTATCCTCACAGGATTGTTGTGAGGATAAAATGGAGAGGAAGACCAAAAAAAAAAAAAAAAAAAAAAAAAAAAAAAAAAACTAGAAGCTGTTAATGCGCTGGCGCCGAAAAACCAGTAACGACGGTGCCAGGCGGACCTCTTTGGGGAGTGAATTCCATAGGTTGGGCGCCACCGCATTAACAGCTTCTAGTCCTCACTCTATCACAAAACTCTCTAGTTCATTGTGAAACACTCAGCCTAGCCTGCCTCACAGGATTGTTGTGAGGATAAAATGGAGAGGAAGACCACCATGTAAACATATGATCTGGCCAGGGCAACTTCTTCTTCCTTCTCTTTCTCCTCCTATATTTTTATTTACTTATTTTATACTGATAATTTTAATTTTATATTTGTAAATCAATGTATTTTTTGTATTTTTTATTTAATGGTAATTTATTATGTACTATTGTATTTCAATGTATTTTATTGTGTTGTAAGCCGCCCCGAGGTTTCAGCAAGGGGCGGCATAGAAATGTTATTATAATAATAATTATTATTATTATTTATAGATAACTATTATTCTATTATCCCGCCCCCACCACTTTCTTCTTTCTTGCAAGGAACCCAAAGGGGCTTATACGGTCTCCTCCTCCCCATTTTTACCTTCATAACCATGCTGTGCAGTAGGTTAGGCTGAAGTCAGCAACCAGCCCAAAGTCCTCCAGTCATTTTCATGACTGAGCAGGGACTTGAATCCACATCTTCCAGATCATGGTCCAGCACTCTAACCACTACACTACACTGCTCTGAAGGTGAAGTTGGAAGTCAAAAACATTTAGAGGGCACCAGGCTCTGGAATGCTACCCTACCCTTTATACTCCCTGGGCAGGCGGACTTTAGGCTTGTTGGAATTTTGTTTTATGACTAGAACCCTAAAATCCACTAAGCAGAGTAAGGAACAGAAAAAGGATAGCGTGAGGATAAGTCCAGTGTCTTAAACTCAGCCATTTCGCATAACTTACAGTGAGTGTTAAACAACAACCAGGAGTGCGGAGGCAAGGTTGGGCAAAGTTCACAAATCCATACAAATACTGAACTAATTTCTAAGGGTGTACCTCCTGGACATGTTCAGGGAACATGTTCAGCATGCTGGGAATTATAGGACTTCTCTTCTGTCTAAATACGCCTAAGATAGGCTTCCGTGTGAATTTCTATGTATTCAGGATGGGCCCACCTATGCACATGAGCGGTTTGGGGGAAGCCCAAAGTTTTGCAGGGTAGGATGTTTGTGGCATGGCATGAAGTGCAGGGGAGCCCTCAATCCCAAAACTGGGGAGGCGTGACGTGGAACATCCTCAAAGGGAACCTGGCTGGCTGGATCCCTGAGTTAGGAGCATTCAACACAGCAACAGCACAGTATTGCAGGTCCCACTTCCAGCCACTCGGATCTTTTATCTGCAGGCCTTTGGCCTGGCTTGAATACAGAGCCACAGCGGGGATAATACAGAAGCTTCAACACATGAGTGTTTTCAGCAAGCGATCTGGCGAGGTACAATTGCAACCCTTTTTATAGTGACTGATTTCATCCTCTTCCTAGCCTGGGACCTAAAGACTTCTTGCAACGCCACCCTGTGGGAAATGCAAAGCACTGCAAGTCTGGTTAATAATCTCGTGATTCTATAATATACTAATGGCAAACTCATTCTGCAGGTGTGGTCATTTTATATCCAGGGTACAGATGGGGCCAAATATGACCTTCTAAGATTCCCCAGCTGGCCCTGGCTAATTCTCCAGGCTGAAACCCCTTTTCCTTGACCACCTATATCTTATTTCTTTATTTTGTTTTTAATTGATTTTGTCTCATGTCAAGTTTTTACTCAGATTTTGTATTTAATCTGTATTTTATTGTTCACTGCTTTGACGGGGTGGCCAGGAGCCCTATTTTGTAGAGCACCTTTGTTTATTAAATATATCCTACGTTTTTCCCTTCCAAGGAACTCAAGGTGTAATTCTCCTCCTCTTTTCAACAACAACCCTGCAAGGTAGGTGGGGTTGTTAGTCTGTGACTGGGCCAAAGTTACCTTGTTAGCTCCCAGCTAACCCAGATCTCCTGAATGCCAATCCCACACGCTTAACCACTATATCACATGGTCTCTTAGAAAGTGTCTTCCTCAATTTGAGCTTCACGCTCAGCCTCATGCCTTGCGCACATTTTGAACTTGAGCTCCTATCAGCCCCAGCTAGCACAACATCTTGTCAAAAATGCTGGGATGTAGTCCAAAAGTCCTGAAAGGTGTCAGGTCGGAGAAGGGCTGTCTTAGCTAATTCCATTTTCAAGAGAACATGTTTCATTTTCATCAGAACGCCGGTCCATCCACAAGTAGCACTTGGAGCACTGACTGAACAAGCAAATGCACCTGTAATTCAGCCACACTGGTCTGCAGTATCACAAGACAGACTGGCTTTTCATTTAATGTACTATATTTCTAAATTTGCACCCATACAATTACTAACATGCAAATGTTAGGCAAATCACCTTCACCTCTCGTCCTCTTCTTTTGGCAATGCACTTCCTTCTGTGGGGGAATCATCTCTGGGGACCATGTGTCCTCTTTTCTAGGGGAGAATCCCTTGACTTTGACGGTTGTTACCTGCTTTGAAGGTGCCCTCTGTTGAAAGGACTGCCCAGTTCAATGATAAAAAATCGTAGAAGAGAATCCCTTGACTTTGAGGATTGTTACTTGCTTTGAAGGTGCCCTCTGTTGAAAGGACTGCCCAGTTCAATGATAAAGAATGGTAGAACAGACAGCTCTTGACCAGGGTTGTGGTCGGTGGCTTTAGGCACGCCCAACGTTGAGTAGGATGAAGCTGCTGTAAGCCTGCTTTTCCCCCCCTCTTGTGCAGGAGGTGATTAATTCAGGATAACAACCTTGAATCAACACCCTTTGAAGCATATGCTGCAGTCCAGAATTGTTTCTGCATATTTCACAATTCCCCTTGCATGGGAGTCTATGATGGTTTCCCTTGAAGTTTCACCTGCGAAGAGGTCAGCCCATCTCAGGGAATGAGAGAGAGAAAACAAGTTTCTTGATGTTAGTGTCTTTTTAATACGGTCCTGCTTTGTGAATTACAATTAATTTTTATTTCAGTCTTGGGCATGGCTGGTTTTCTTCCCCCCTCCTGCTGTGCTGAAGACATGTTTATTTAATCTTCCCTGGGGTGGGGCGGATAGAGATTTTTTTTTAAAAGGGAAAAAGAAAAAAGGAAGAAAAAAGAGCTTTAAATTAGGATGGGCTTTAGAAAAGAAATGGATGGGAGCAATTAGTAAAATTATTTTTCTCGGACTTAATTACCATAACATTGCATTGGAATAAAGGAATTGGTGCACCACGGGTGGGGAAGGGGGAAGAAGAGGGATTTCCATGTGGGGTTTGCTTTGGAGAGATGAGAAAGAATGAACCCCAAGAAAAATGCATAAAAGATTTCTCTCTTTTTTAAGGATATCATTAACCTTGTTTCCTCTTTCTAGGCTATGGCCTTTAATGATTTATTTATTGGGCCTGTTATGTGTTGGGGAGAGTGCAATGCGCTCCAATTCAGCAAGAACCTCACAACTGCTTTGCTGGATCAGTCTAGTCACTCCCTCTCCCTTGGAGAGCTACCACTTGGCAGCTATAGCACAAGGGGCTCAGGACTGCAGCCCCAGGAGTGGAATCCAGCCTTCCAGGGTCCTCCACGTGGTCCCACCCCTTGGCAACTGGTCCTTGGTGTTTCTCCAGTTTTCGTGCACATTTCTTCCCTATTCTGCAAGGTTGACATGCCAGCTGCCCGGGGAATACTGGGAATTGTAGGAGGTTTTTTCTGTCTAAACATGCATGGGATTGCACCAGGGCAAGCTAGCCTTCAGGGAACCATAAGAATAAATAATACAAGAATTTGTGTGCTGTCGAGTCATCTCGGACTTACGGCTCTCCAAAATGTCCTATCCGTGACAACCTTGTTCAGGGGTTGTAAATTATCCCAGGCTGTGGCTTCCTTTATGCAGTCAGTCCATCTCATATTTAGAATAAAGACTAGATTAACTTAATTAATAAAATAAATACTAAAAATAAGTTGCACAAGTGGGTACCAAGAGGGGCAAATGTCACCAAATTAAAGAAATGTTCTTTGATGAATGGTGTATGTTTTAGTCCACAGATTAATTTGCCTATTATGTCTTCCTGGATTTGAATATAGGAAAGAAAGAACAGTAGCAGTACTATACGCACATGTGCATGTTCTCTTGATCATCCCAGAGTGCAGGACACAAAATAATGGGCTTAAGTTACAGGAAGCCAGATTCCAGGTAGATATCAGAGGAAATTATGGAACCAATTACCTAGGGAGCTTGTGGGCTCTCCCACACTAGAGGCACTTAAGATGGAACTGGACTACCTGAGACGGATGGTGTGACTGAGCAGGGGTTTAGACCTGATGGCCTTCTACTATTCTAGGATTCTGTTGCAAAGTGCTGTGTCTGAGCCAGGGTGATTGGACCTTAAACCAGAAGCACCCTACAAACCTCAGAAGCAAAGGGACATTGTAATTAAAACACCATGTGAGAGATTATCCAAATGCATCGAATTTTAATATGAGTGTGAGATATGATGATATTTTAGATAATGATGGAAAATTGAAGCCGAATCAAGAACTACAGGAACATGGTATTGATCTTTCTTGGTGGCACAAGATTCAAATACAATCGAGATATATTAAAGACTATAGAATGTATCATTTTATAAGGAATTAATAGCTTTTGATCAAATGATTTTAAAATCAGATGAAAAAATGATTAAAAGGTTGTATAATTTTCTTTTGGATATGAAAATGGAAGATAAACAAGTTAAAGAAACTATGATAACATGGGCACAAAACTCTGGATATAATATTGAGTTACAGAAATGGCAAAAGCTGTGGGAAAGAAATATTAAGATAACCCTACCAACTTCATATAAGGAAAACTTTTATAAAATGTTTTACAGATGGTATTTATCACCAAATAGATTAGCAAAAATGTTTTCAAATATGTCAAATCGATGTTGGAAATGTAAGCACAAACCTGGTACTTTTTATCATTTGTGGTGGACTTGTGTTAAGGCAAAAAAATTGGGTTAAAATACACAAATGGCTTGAGGAAATGCTGCAAAAACCTTTAACATTTAAACCTGAAGTTTTTCTATTAGGTATTAGGGTTAACCCTAAAGGAACACCTTCTTCCCTATTTGCCCTCTCACCCCCTGAGATGGGCAGCAGAAGCCCTCCTCTGGGAACCCTCTATGAAAGATGTTAGGAGACAGAGTACCCGGAGGAGGGCCTTCTCTGCGGTGGCACCCCGTTTAAGGAATGCGCTCCCCAGAGAGGTCCGCCTGGTGCCATTATTATACGTTTTTCAGCACCAGGTTAAGACCTTTTTATTTAATCAATATTTTAATAAGTTTTAATATTGAATTTTATCATATTTTAATTGCAGCCAGAGTGGGTCGTTAATTAATTTATGTTATGTTAGATATTTGCATTTTATTTGTGTAAGCCGTCCTGAGGCTCTTGCAAAGGATGGCATATAAATATCCTAAATAAATAAATATTATTCCTGATGACTTCTATAAACAAGCTATATATTTGACTTTACATATAATTACTGCAGCGAGGATTGCATTTGCCCGGCATTGGAGAAGCGAAGAGCCACCTACTGAAGAGCTGATTTTAAAAAAGATTTTGGATTGCACAGAGATGGATTGACCTTATCTTTGAAGTAGAAGGAAGATACAGACTTCTATCAAAGTTGGAACACTATTATTGGTTAGAGAAACGGGACTATGCGTAGAATTGAATATGGTTGTTGAGTGTAAAAAAGAGTGAGATGTCGACCCAGTATGTCCGATGTCTTGAATAATTGTTGTTTCAGTTTTGGATTTATAGAGAAAATAATAAAATTGGATTTAAAAAAACACCATGTAAGAGATGTGCACACGCGCATCGCACCAGCAGGTGGCACTAGAGACAGAGCCTCCCTCCCGGGCTGCGTCTCTCAGACTGCTTCACCTGATCCCGCTGGAGCATCTTCTTCTGCACTTTCCCGGAGATGCAAGCCCGGGAGGCTCTTGCCGTCGCCTCCTGCTGGGATATGGGCCCTCAGCCAGCGACCAGCCATGGCTCCCCGTGAATGCGGCCCTGCTTGGGCCAGCAATGGCCATGCCCGGGCACACCACAGCTGCTCCTGCCTGAGCAGCGTCCCTTAAGAAAGCCACACTCCCGTTTTTTTCAGTGGTGTGTTCAAGTCCTTTATTCCAAGTCTCGAGTCAAGTCTCAAGTCTTTACTTTCAAGTCCAAGTTGAGTCTCAAGTCATCGCAGGAAATTTGAGTCGAGTCTTAAGTCTCTTCTCAAGCCTAACCTCCACCCGCCCCTGCCCCTTTGAAATTCCCTCCCTCCCACCCCCTCTGCCATAGTCGTACTTGCTTTTCAGGATATCCTGCCACATGGTAAGCCCTGGAGCAACTTGGGCGTAAAAACTGTAGAAATCTCAAGTTGAGTCACTGATGCACCTTGGGTCAGACTTAGGAGTCACTGTAGTCCCCAGCACTGCTTCTTTTAGTCAGCAACGAACGCTCTGGGCATGCGCAGTTACAAGATTATTTCAGCAACAAGATCCTGGTTTAGCTTAACAGGGCTTATTGCTAAGTGAATGAGTTGAGAGTCAGGGCAGCAGAATTCTACTTCCATTCGATTCCTTTGGAATCGTGCTGGCACAGCAGAATTTAAATGCAAAACCGCATGTACTCTTTCTATCTTTCCCCTCCTCAGAGCTGGAAAATGGTTATATTTTTCATTTTTGCTCTAACCTAGCAGGAATCTAGGAGTAGTTTTAAAGCAGTTGCTGGGGTAGGTAAAGGAATTATAACCATGTTCTGTGTACTTAATAACTGAAGTTATGTGTGTTTAAAATCCCCACCAACACCTATGAAATCATTATGTCAGTGTCTAAAATACGAGTAGGGCCAAATTCAATTTTAGAGATGCTCCTGAGGCTGAGTGGGACCAAAGGCAAGCAAGTGAGGCCAAAAATATATTTAAAATAGCCCAGGCGATGGTGGCTAAAAACTGATTCTTCCACGAACTCGGCCTCAGGAGAGCCATTTTAACCTTTCAGAACGGGGAAAAGAATGACACAAAAGCAGGGAAATGACTATTTCTTTGGTGTTTCGGACATCTGCCTAGGCACACTGCATTAATTTATTCCCCACCATTATCCCCGCAAAGACTCAAGGCACCCCCTCTTCTCTCTCGTATCCTCTCAAGAAGCCAGTGCAGTGTAGCAGACTTGGGAGATCTGGGCTCAAGTCCCTGCCCAGCCACAAAAGTGACTGTATGACTTTGAGCCAGTTGCTGACTCAGCCCAACCTACCTTACAGGACTGTTGTGAGGATTAAGAGAGAGGGGACCATTATGCAAGCCACCTTAAGTCCCTTGAAAGGAAAAAGGGTAGGTTATAAATATCATGAATTTACAGCCCTGTGAAGCAGGTTAGGCCAAGAGTCAGCAGCTGAGCCAATGTCACCCAACACGCTTACAGCTGACAGAGTGGAGCCCTTTTATTCTTTCTGTCTATTCATATCTTACATTTTTTCCTTCAGGGCGCCCAAAGCCTAAAACCACCTTCTTTCTTTCCATTTTACCCTCACAACAACCCAGGGAGAGGGGAAGGCTAACCTGAAAATCCATGATTGGCCCCAGGTTACCCAGCAAGCTTCATGGTCGAGAGAGGATTAGAACCTGAGTCTGGCTCCAGCGTTCTCACCACTCTGCCACATGGCCTCCCCATCTCCCTTTGCCTCTTGGGGGGTGGGGGGGGGGAGATATTTGCAAGATCAGTATCTCAAAGGAACACTCTCGCGAAAAAGAAGAAGAAGAAATTGACACAAAACGGCATTGTGAAAAGGTGCGCCTTTTCGCCCCTTCGTGGATTGAGCAACACGAAGTTTTCGAAGCCTGGCTCCAAGTTTTCAAAGTCTGGGTCCCGGTGATAAGCACATACTGTCCAGAGTTTCGCTTCCTCATTGGCTTGCCACAGATTTTGACACGAATAATCTGATTGAAAAATCAGGGAGGAGGCTGGAACCCGTGCGTGGAGGGTGGGGGGAACAATAAGATACAGGAAGGACCTCTGCAGAAACATGTGAACATGCGAAACAGCCTTCACGGAGGAGAGCCAAAGAGCAGAGGACATCGCCCGGGGAGGTCTCAGGTCTAAATCCGCGAACCACCGCCCTGCAAACAGGTGACCCCCCCCCCCCCGCGCCGCCCCGCATCCTTGTTAAAGCTGCTTCTAAGGCGCAGTCCCATTTCCAGCTCTCTCCGCAGGCAGGTGGCTCGACTTCGTGTCGCAAAGCGGAGCGCTTGCGAGACGCGGGGCAGCCAGGGCTGCCCAAGCTGAAGCGCACCTGGGATGTGTCTGGGGGGCCGTTCTCTTCTCTCCCCCCCACCAGTATCTAGAGAGAGAGACATCGACTGGGAATAGTCTTGGCCAGGATAAACCTGTCCCTGCCTGGGGTTGGACGTGCTAGATTAAGTTTATCCATGGATTTAAGCTACTTGCACAGGGCATGATATTCTCGGATCTCTGAGCAGTTAACATTTCTTCGAAGGTTCAGGCTCGAAGTGAATGTAAAAACAATACAGAGTCAGTGATTGCTTCTTCTGAATCAATTAATCGGTATCCTCCTGTTTTGCTATTTGGAAAAAGCCAAAAGCAACGAATGGGTGTAGGAACACCTGGTTGGTATGGGCTGCTGCTAACTCGAAATAACTCTAGTGGATGCATTCAAAAGATGAAAGGCAAACAAACAGTAAATTGCAGCACAGTCTACTCAGAACTAAGCTCCATGGAGTTTAATGGGGACTACTCGCATGTAAATGGGAATAAGATTGCAAGTGGAGCCTATTCTATTGAAGGAAAAGGAAAAAGAAAGAAAAAAGTTCAACCTGAAAGTAAAGATGATTGAACTCATTGGGGCTTACTTTTGAGTAGATGTCCTTAGGATCGTACTGTGAAAGCAGCCCTCACAAAAAGATCCCCTAGAACAGACTGGACATTAATTTTTGGCACTGGAGCAGAAAAAAACTGTCAATATGTAACTCAAGAGTTTTGGGGAGGAGTATGGAAAATGGATTAATCTTTAGAATATTGAATAGTTTGCTATTTGCAGGTGTTTGTTTCTAGTCACCGTAATATGCTAAGACACACTCCCATGCCTGTTTAAACAGAAAAAAAGCCATGCAACTCCCAGCGAAAAAACTTGTTTCTAAACATGCAGGATTGTACACTTGGCTGCATCTTTGCAAGTATAAATGTATATGGGTATCCTGGGTCCCTCCAGGGTCCCTGTGTTGGACTGTGACTCTGAGTGGAAGATGCAAAGTTAGCGACAGGTAGATGTGGGAAAAATAGATGGGCAACTTTCTTGTTAAATAGGCACAGTGTAAGGCAGATAAAAGTATGCGTTGTGTGTGGGGTGGTTAAGTTTGAGCTAGTATTTTTTATGGTAAATTGGCTCAAGGCATTCATGGTGTGAAGAATGCGGCTCCATTCTCCGATACAATTTTTTAAAAAGCTGTTGTTTGAATGGATAGGCAACAAGTTATAAGGAATTGCATCCAATACAGTCAAAATAAGTGGATCATACTTGCATGCACACATGAATTTTGTTTTTTAAAAAAGAGAAAAATCTTAAAACCTGGTAGCTGACTGAAGTAAAAACCATATTCTCTAAACCCCCATAGATATTTCTGTGGAGGGGTCATCTGATAATTTGGCTAGGAACCCAAATTCCCTGCTCACCAATGACTTCAGCATACTTGTTACTCTGAAGGAAGTCCGGGTGAGTAGGACTTAGTTTTAAGTTTGTGTACAACCTTAGCGGGCTGGAGATGAGGCCTTTTTCTTCACAAGAGCATTGAAAAAAAGTTTCAAAGGGTTTTTCTATTCCCACAAAGTACTTGGAAGTTGTGATCCACTCAGAGAGCTTTACCTGTTGCATAGTATAAAAATGTAATAAATGCATTTTATTTAGTAAAGCTGGAGAAAGCACTTTGCTAGAAAGCAGAAGCCACCGAGGAACAGTGTTAGGTCCAGAAAAGATCTTGGGGCTCAGGCCCATAGGGCCCTAAACATACATATATTTGCATAGACTAATATATTTACAAATATGCGAATGTCCATATGCTTGTCTCTCTACAAGACCCCGCCTCCTAAGGACAGATTGGGATGGGGCAGCAGGAGTGGTGCCCAGGTGAGTCCAAAGCCAGCTGGTCTGGGGGAATCCAATGCCACAGAGGGCCCTTGGCCCCTGATTTCAGCAAGGGCCCCTGAATGGCAGGGCGACAGGGCAGAGAGCTTCCCAGAGACAGTGGAAGGGCCCTCCTAGCACACGGCAATCTCTCTCCAAGTACGGATTCCGCTTGCCCTGTTGCTGGTTTTGGAAATGACACCAAGGCTGCTCATTTGAGGCAAAAGTGAGACCAAATGTTCGCCACACATGACACTGCAGTCACATTTTTTTTTGGATTGCAGACTTAATGCCCTTAGTGAGGGGCAACGGCATTCTTTTTATGCTAATTTGCATGGTTCGTTTGCTTCAGAATGTAGCAGGCCAGTCCTGGAGCTGTGTTCTGTTCATCCTGCCAAGCGAGCGGCCAGACATCTGCCCCAATGTTCTGCCCACAGTCCAGCACCACTGATAATGGGAGATGCCTGACTCTTTTCAAAGACCTCCTTCCCCTCAGGGGGAAAAATAAAAACCCCAAGGGATCATTTTAGTCCCCCTTGCTAAACGCTTTGAAATTCCACTGAATTCAGCAGTCAGCCAACGCCACCATCTTTCCTGCTTCAACCGGTGGAGTGTCAAAGTGCTAAACTTTGAGGGGAATGTGTCTAAGCGCTGTACTTATTAAACAGCTTTATGTATATTGGAATATTATTTTGTAAACAAGGCTGACTGAATTCCCAGCCCAAATTGTGAAATGTGTTTTTTGCGGCAGTGAGCATAAGTGAAGCGAGTAGTTCTCTTTCCCTGCCCTTCAAATAAATATGGAAATAAATAAAATACCTACAACAACCCTGCAAGGTAACTTTGACTGAGAACCTGCAAACCGTCCATTCATCACTCAGTTTCACAGGCCTCCTTAGTCCAAAGATTGGGAATTCCATCCCAGGGGCCAAACACAGTCCTCCTGCAGTCCCAACATGGACTTTGGAGGTGCTCCAAGAGGCCACGTCCCCTTCCCTAGTTCCTGCCCACCTTCCCCTCGCCCATAACCTAGGGAGTTAGTTGGAATTAAAAAAGGGGTGCTTTTGAACAGGGTCTCAGCCCTGGTCCATAGCAGTGGTTGCTCATGCCACATCTGATCATCTCTCAGCATTGAGCAAATACAGATCAGAGAGGGTGGAGACAGGCTTCCCCACATGGACTGCTGTTGTTTCCTGTTCTCCCCACCACCCTGCTTCTTTTTTATGAGTGTGAGAAATGCCCTGTAATGGCTACATATGAGGGAAATAACCGAGGAGGAAAAAAAGATCAGCAAACTCCTTAAGCATCTTTCATAAAATACCAGCATGTTATTCATTTTTACAGCAGATTACCACTACTTAAGGTTGGCTGGTTTCTGTCTAGAGGGCAGTCCTCTGTTTGAAGGTGTCCTGTATTTAAAGGCCCATCCAGTCAAAGTCAGGTTTAAAGGTAAAGAACTATCCACATACCACAACCCAACAACAAGCCATGGCTTCTCTGTGGTTAATAAACCATGGTAGCAGCAGCTGGGTTCACACAGCACAACTACCCATGGTACAGCAACAACCACACTGAATCCTTATTCTGGCTTGTACTTAGCTGTTTTTTGGCCCACGTGTACTTTACTTGTACCTCCTCCAAATGAGCCAAATTCTCTCTGCCCAAGGTTTTTTCCTGAAACTAAATGGCTGCCTCTCTTCTACTGAACATCCCTTTTTAAAAACAAGTTTCCTTAGGAAACAAGGTCCTTGGACAAAAAACACAGGCTTTAGCGCAATTATAATTAGCATATGCACAGCTGTGCATGGTGTCATTCTGTGGGTGCAGACCCCAGATCCCTTCCGTACTGGCAAAACCGCTGCTGGGCTCCAAGAAAGGTGTCCAAGGGCAGCACACGAGAGCACAGACCACTCTCATATAATGGACACCAGCCTGTGGCTGATAACCCTTCCCCACACGCTGCAGGACGATAACATCTTATTCTTCCACATGGACTGCCTCACACTAAGTCGGGATTGTCCCCTCTTGGCTCAGTTGCTTCAACTGGAGGCCCCAAGCTAGAAGGAACATGCCGGTGCAAGGTTGCCCTGCAGTGTTGCCCCGTGAAGCTGCAGCCCATAGGGCTACTTTGCCCCGGGACTGCTGACGCCCTGACCTGGAACGGGAGCACTCGCTTGGCCCTCGAGTGCTAGTTTTTCTCCGGCCAGCTATGGAGCCCATGCTTCCAAGGGGATCAAGGAGAGCGTCCTTCTCCATGCATCTTCAGGGAGGGGAGTTCAGATTTCCCCAGTTTGTGGGGCACATGTCAAGCTCCCCCCTGCTGCCCCCTCCCCCCTGCGCAATGCTAAAAGGGTGGTTATGTGTTTAGCCTCACAGGTAGATTGGTCCTGAGAAGTGGCACGGGAGCCTTGATTCCTTAGCCCAGAGAAAGGCATAGAGGGATTCTACTTGGCACATGCCAAGGAGTAACCAGCCCTAGGTCCAGATTTTTTTTTATTCGGGGGGTGGAGAATATTGTAAAGGCAAGTTGGTAACCAGGCTCACACAGTGACTGCCTGCAAAAATTGCAGAGGGTGGGCAGCAGCCACTGCAACCCCAAGGAGCCACACTGGGCTAGTGAACCCGGTCAGAGAGAGGGGCTGTGACTAACAGCTCAAGGGCAACACAGATTAGAATTTGCTTTGGGTGTGTGTTTTAACTGTTACTGCATGAGCAGTTCCAAGAGAAAATGCAAACGACCATGCAAATAAGAGACACTTGATTGCCTTCCAGTGTATTATGCCTTTTTCATGGATTGTGTTACTGTCTGGGATGCAGGCAGGGTGGCCCTGGAGGATTTCACAGGCTGGAGGCTAAAGAACAAGGGTAAATACGGGATAAAGGCAGGGATGGTGCTGAACACCCAGAAGGTCCGGAGCTCAGGCCCACTGGACGGAGGCAGGAGCATAGATTGACATATGCCAATTTGCATGTGCTCTGAAGTCTCTCCCTGTGTGTCTGAAAAGGAAACCAGGTGCTAAGGACGTTCCTATTGGTAAAAAGGGGCGTATGGACGGGGAGAAGGGGGCATCCGATTTCCGAAGGAAGATAACCAGGCAAAAGTATTCAGTGTGGAAAGACACAGGAAGGGAAGCACATGTGTGCAAACAGCCAGCTGACCTCCTCAGGACCCCTGCAACTGCAATGCCCCACGAGCCCACAGTGGGACAGACTCCGGAGAGTCGGGCTCCAGCCCGTGGGGGCCATTAACCCTGCCGCTGCAGGACACGAAAGACAAAACAGGTCCCTTGTATCCTCTCTCTCTACCCCAAAAGGTCAGGAGGTTCAAGGGCAGTTTTTGTCACGAGCATTTCCCCCACCGTGTGCTTAGTCACCAATGCTGAGTGGATGGGAAGCAAGCAAGCAATGCTATTCCCCCCGTCCATTTATTTATTCATGTGATCCCACAATAACCCAAAAGCTGCCTTCCAAAAGCTTTCCTTTAAGAGCCAGCCCTCGTGGCCTTAATCTTTCTCTCAACTGGTTAAAATCTGTTCTTGTCAAAAAAACGTCCACTTGCCCCCAAATGAATCAACAGGTCAGACACCCCCTCTCAGCCCAGCATCCTCGGGATGTGTGGGACTGCAATTTCCATCGTCCTCAGCTTGCATAGCCAGTATGGAGGGCGCCAGGTTGGGCAAATCTCTTCTAAATGTACAATCCTATACATATTTAGACAAAAATAATATTTTATTGCTATACCACTCGGCAACTGAAGCTGGAGGCTTTGTTTGCTCACTGGAGGTTCAATGCCCCACCTATTTGAAGGAGTAATTCCTCGCCCTCAATATGTTTTCTTCCCTTCTGCTTAAGGCGGAGTCCATTTTGGGGGCTGCTGGATATCTTTTATCAAGGAAAGGCAGCAGCATGCTCCTGGTTCTTACTTCCCTCTCTTTGCTTCATTGTCTTTCTGGATCTTTGCTCGCTGGGGAACAGGAGATGCCGAGATCCTTCCTGGTGAAGAGCAAGAAGGCGCACTCGTATCACTGGCGTCGCGCGGTGGATGAGGGTCTCCTCCTTCCGCGCTGGGATCCGGAAACCGCCACTGCTCCCTGCCTTGCCAGTATGTCAGCTATCTTTGTTTCGCAAGAGTTACGTATAGCCAAGGTGTCAAAGCTTTCTCAGCCCGAGGGCCAGATTCCATTTTGGAGAAGCTCTGGGGCATGGTCTGGGGGGCAGGGCCAAAAACAGAAGAGGTGGGGCCAAAATGCACCATGTTTCAGCTGAAAGCAGCAGCACCCCAACCTTATGAAATTGGGAAAGCACTACTAAAAAGTCAGGAAACATCCACAAATAAGGGAGGAGGGAGTACCTGAAATTTGAATTCAATCTGAAGCAAGATCCGTATTGATAAATTCATGGGGGAGGGGGTCACTTAACTGAAGAGAATTATTGATCTGGGAAAGTTCCAGGGTGGGTACAAATTAATTGAAGCAACTGGGGTGTTTTGGACAGGAAATGAAGTAACCTGCCTTTAAATCCATTCTGTTAATGATGCCGACATTTGCTATATAAATTAGCCTTCCTCGGCTTTTAACTCTCCTGCAAGATGTACCTACCTAATTATTCTTGAAGCGTTCACGTGGGCCTATCCTGCACCAAGTCTTTTAAGTATCTAGCAACACAGTGCCAGTGAGATGAGGCAAATCGGGTGGTCTTGACCCCATGGTACATTTTAGGGGTCTTGAGGGTACCCTGCTGTGCATGGACTACAGTGGCCCTTCAGGCCAGGGAAAGCCAAGCCAGACTTCAGTGGCCAGGGCCCCCCGAGTAAGGCCTTCACCGCAGATTACCTGCCATTCCCTCTTGCAGAAGAGAAAGATGGTCCCGCCGAGGGCAAAGAAGAAAACATCCCTGCCCAGAATATGACCAGGATAGTGCCCAGGTCTCCGACACCAGGTGAGAGATGGTGCAGGGTCTACACGCACCACACCATGAGGGGGTGGTGACATGGTAGAGGCCTACGGGGAGCAGAGGAGGGATTGTATCAGTTCAGTCTGCAGATGCGGAAGTGCCGCTTTTGAATGCTCCCCCCATTAAAAACCTTCCTGCAAATAGAAAAGCAGCTCCTCAGGGAAATGTTTCCAGCCCTGCTGAGCTGCACTTCTACTTGCAAGGAATTATTCATGCTGGAAGTGCTGAAAATGTGATGGTCCGCCTGCAATCTGAAATGGTGCAGTCTGGAAGTCCACCTTCCTTCTCTCCACCTGCGCTACCTGCCTCATTCTGCTGCTTGTGGCTGTTTCCAGTGATACAACAGAATGCAAATAAAAATCTGAAACAATTAAACGGCAATTTAGGGATCCAATGAAATGCAGTGATTGGAGTGCCAGACTACAAAGACTCAGATTCAAATCTCCACTCGGCCATTAAATTAAATTTTCTCAGAGATCACGGGCCAATTGCTATTTGAGCCTTACCTACACCTCACATGATTGTTGCAAGGATAAAATGTGGGAGGGAGCAATGCATGCTACTGTCAATTCCTTGGAGAAAACATAGCATATGAATTAACAAATGAAATTGGAAAATAAAAAATGAAATTCGGTGTCAAATAGGTGGGAAATTTCACGGCTGCATTTGAAGGACTTACAATTAGTTTTGGCAGCTGTCAGTTGGAAATCTTACAAGTTGTCAGCAACTCCAATATTGTACTGTTGCCTGCCTGTTCTCAGAAGTGGGAGCAAGTCACTCTCTCTCAGCCTACCTTGCAGGGTTGCTGTGAGCTTAAAATGGGGAAGCCCACCACCCTGTTGATTCATTCACTTACAGCAGCAGTGGACAGAAGTTCTCCAAATATTTGGGATGCCAACTCCCAGAAGTCCCTGCCAGCATGGCCAATGTTCAGGAATTCAAGTGTTGAAATCCAGAACATGGGAAGACTGATTTTCTGCCCACCTTGGATTTACAGCTATTTCTGAGAATCAGGGTGGCATAGCAGTTAAGAGTACAGGACTGGGACTCGGGCGAACTGGATTCTAGTCGCCACTCAGTCATGGAGCCAACCGGGTGACTCTGGGCCAGTCACAGACTCCCAGCCCAACCTCCCTCACAGGGTTGTTGTGTGGATAAAGAGAATGAAGTGAGCCGCTTTGTATTCATTGTAAGAACAAAGCGGGATACAAAGCTAATAAATAAATACAATCATCGCCACTACTAGTAGTCATAACAGTAATATGAAAATGGTGGATCATACACAGGATGACCATCTCTTCCCCCACCCCACATTCTGCTTCAGAGCGACCCGTCCCGGCCTTGAAAGCCAAAGAGGGTGGTGCTGCGGAGAGCACGTCTCCCGCCTTCTACAAACCCGGTTTTGCGTGGGACGCCTTCCACCCTCCGTATGGCTACAGGCCAATGTCTTCTGCCCGCCTGGACCGTGCCCTCGGCCTGTACGGGACCCACCTCCTTCCAGCCTTGGAACCGCCGCTTGATTACAGCATGCGATTCTCACCAGACACAGAGACTTTCCACTGCATTATATGCAACAAAGTGAGTTCTGCACAAGCCACGCACCTCCTCTGGTGCTGCCATGCGAGGCTGCCACGTGAGCCTCCCACAGGGCCCTGGGATGAGGAGGGTGCCCGAAATGGCCCAGACGGGTGCCACTTCACCCCGGAGTGCCATTTCAGTCTCTCACCAGGTGGGGTGATGCCATTTATATGGCTCACAATGGCCCCAAGTGAAGCTGTGTCCCTGGAAAAACGCCAGTTCGTTTTCCCACCAGGAGGAGCATCAGACCCTTCTCCTGAAAGCTGGAATTCCATTCCGGAGAACACTCGGGGGTGCTTTCTAGTGGCAGGTCTTGCCAAGGGGGTGGAATGCCACCTAGGTTGGAGGGAACAGGGGGGCCTGGCCAAAGGGCAGGGCTTTGCCAGCCAGCCAGCCAAACCCGACAGGCGAGCTTGGAGGTAGGAGCAGACGCCCTCCTCTGCCACAGAAGTGGGGCTAGGAGGGGACTGGAGACCCAGCTCTTTCAGATGAGATGGAGTAACAGAGGCGGAGTGTCCGTTGTTCTCACAAAGCACTTTATTTTCCAGATATTTTCCACACCTCATGGTCTGGAAGTCCATGTCCGAAGGTCACACAGTGGCACACGGCCTTTTGCTTGCAAAGTCTGTGGCAAAACTTTCGGCCATGCAGTGAGCTTGGAACAACACAGCAACATACACTTCCAGGTAGGATGGGGAACTAGGAAGCCAACGTGGCTGGCCCATAGCGCTCCGTGGCCCAAAGGCAGTTCTTCTGATTTTCTTTTTTTTAATTTCAAACACTCCCACCAACCACTACATTTTTCAGAGAGCTACTCTAAGAACGGGATAAAACGGGTGTGGAAGCTCTCTCAGTCTGAGGACCAGCTTCCATTGTGGAGAAGCTCTGGGGTGGGGTGACATTCCTCTAGTAGGTGGGGCTGAAGGCCAAGGGGGTGGGCCCAAACTACAAAGAAGATCCTCACACTGTAGTTGAAAGGCCTTCCTGCCCGTTACTCAGCCGAGAAAATACCGCGAGAAGAAAGCTGAACTCGCAAAGAAGAAAACTCGGCAACAGTCCCCAAGCCAGACATCTTTACCCTGATAACACCACAGGAGCCCTGTTGTCCCCCATTGCTGGCTGTCTCAGCAGTTAATGTTCCTAGTCCCTGTGGTCTGATGTTGCACACATGCAGAGACGCCCAGGGACCCTCTCTCCCGACCCCGCCTTCCTTGCAGGAGAAAAGCTTCGAGTGCAAGATGTGTGGCAAGGCATTCAAGCGCTCTTCCACGCTCTCCACTCACCTGCTGATCCACTCAGACACGCGACCCTACCCCTGCCAGTACTGCGGGAAGCGCTTCCACCAGAAGTCCGACATGAAGAAGCACACCTACATCCACACCGGTAAGAGGGCACCCTCCCTGCGCGGGGAGTCCTTAACGAACTTCTGGCCAGGCCTAAAGGGATGTCTCATTCAGAAGCACAGCGCAAGCCCGGCGATCCCCAGAACGTAAGCGCCACGGCGGGCCCATCTCATCCAGGAACCTAGTCACACGGTGGCCCAGCACTGCCTCCGGGAGACCCCCCAGCAGAACACAAGCGCAACAGCACCATCCAGCAACTGGGGCATATAGGCACACTGCCTCTGATCCTGGGGAAAGCGTATACCCTTCAGGAGCACTGGCCACAAACAGCCTTCTCACCTCCAGGGACCTGCCCCGTCCCCGTTTATAGGGACTGGTTGGTCGCAGCCACAGCATCTCGGGGAAGCGGATTCTGTCATTTAACTCTGCAGCACTTCCTTTGATCTGCCCTGTATCTCTCATCGTACAGATTCATGGGGTGAACACATTGGGTTCTAGAATTATGAGGGGGAAAGAAAAAGGTTTCTTTCTCCACAGCATGCATAATTTTGCACACTTCCATCATGGTTCCCCTTAATCGTCGTTTTCCTAAGCCAAAAGGCCCTTTTGCATCACAGGGGAGCTGCTCCAGCCCTTTGATCTTTTTGCACATCTTCAGACTACAGCAGGACCCCCGTATCCATGGGGGAAAGGTTCCAAGCCTCCCAGTGGATGCCTGAAGCCACGGATTATTTATTATTTATTTATTTAGTAAACTTCTATGCCTTGGGGTGGCTTACAACAATAAATAAATACATATAACCATATAAAAACAATATAATTGGAAACGCCCTGGCCAAAGATATAAAATCAATAAATAAGCTAACAATTAAAATACCGTTTAATAAAAAGGTCTTGGCCTGGCGCCGAAAAACACAGTAGCAAACGCTCTACTGTACATACACATTTCTTTTTTTACAAGTTCACGGACAGAAAATTCATTCTTACTGCATATCCTAGCAACCTCAGCATACATTTTCCCCATTAAATCAAATTCAAAGTCTTGATTAGGGTCCCAGACCAGCATATCCTATTAAATCGAGAATTTCCACTTAAATGAAGCACTTTATGAGTTCCCTTTTGGACCAAGCTCAACAGCAATTGAGTGAACCTGTGGCAGCTGGGCCAGTGGAAACGGGGCGGGGGGGGGCGCTATATCCAATACCTACTGGTGACCAGAACTGTTGTCGCAATGGTCCAAGTGTAGCTGACCAGCAAAACAACACTCCGTTGTGTAAAGCGCTAAAACAGGGGCGGCTGCAATTTCGAGCAGGATCCTGTTTCCATGGGAGGAGGTCCCCTTCTTGGGCTATTCACCAGCCTTCCATCTGAGCAAGGACCACTGTAATACTAACACCCGAGATGCCTGTGCTAATATGCCTCGCACGCCTCTCTTTTCCATGCAGGTGAAAAGCCGCACAAATGCCAGGTCTGTGGCAAAGCCTTCAGCCAGAGCTCCAACCTCATCACCCACAGCCGCAAGCACACTGGCTTCAAGCCCTTCAACTGCGAGCTCTGTGGGAAAGGCTTCCAGCGAAAGGTGGATCTGCGGCGTCACCGGGAGACCCAGCACAGTCTCAAGTGAGAGGGGGGACCCACTGCAGCCTGGGTGGAAGACCTGCGGCCCAAGGGTCCTTTTGCAAATGCCGCCCACCCTGCACCCAGCCCCCCGCTACTCTTCGCTCTCACCACCCCACTGCCGTTCCCTGACAAATGTTGCCTCAGGTGATACGGCCCTTGAGAATTATCTCCCTGAGAGACCCCCTAGCCTAGGGGTGGGTGGGTGGAGGATTTCCGGCACTTTGGACTTCAGCTCCCAGCATTCCTAACCACACTGGCAAGGGACTATGGGTGGTGAAGTGCAAAAGATGCCCGCCCCCTGCAAAACTACAGGACATGGATTACTCTGTGGGGACAAGGAAGAACCAGGGAGGGCACAATCCTACTCATGTAGACAGAAGAGGTCTTAGAATACCGGCACGGCCCAGGCCCAGGCGGCCCTGCTCGGAGTTGTGAGACCTTTTTCTGTCTAAACATGAGCAGGACTGCACCCTAAAACACTTTAAGCTTATACCCCAAGGATAGCCAGAAGGAGAGAATGGAGGAGGTTACCACCCTGTGCATTGCTCTGAAATTTAAAGAAGGGAAAAAATCGAAATTCTCTGAAATGAACAGTTTTGCAGCGGAGAAATTCATGTCTAAATGTCATGTTCTTAAATCTGGACACTTATTGTTTTCAGTTTTGGGAACTCTCACGCCAAACCCTCCCTTCTGATTTCTCACAGAACCCTGTACATAAGTATTTATGCATGTCACACTTTTTTAAATCAATCACCTGCTACAAGTCATTAACATTTCATAAAGTTGCTTCTACGATGCATACATCTGGATTATTATTGGGGTGCTAGTATTTGTGCTGGGGTATCTTCTGTTTGCTTTCGGGTATTCAGACAGGCTGGATGCCCAGGTCAGAGTCCTCTCAGAACTTCGCTATAGTTCAGGCACCAACATCACGTCCTTCCAACACTCTGCAGAGGAAATGCAGTGGGGGGTGCTTCGACACCGCATCATTCATCTTCCTCCAAATCCTTCCACAACCCACACGGTATTACCCCAAATCTTAACTGTTCACAGACTTTGCAAACAACCTGTGCCGGGTGAACTTCTGAAGCAGTAGCATCTGCCCAAGAGTAAAGCAGAGGAGAGGAAAACAGAACCATGCCAAAATTGTACAGTAGTGCTTTGCATCTGTGCATGCATATATTCATTGATGTGTTGAATGCCATGGTCAAGATTTCCAATATAGCTGTCACCTTAGTCTGTGGCAACAAAGCATCCTGTTGCCCCATAAAGCCTGTTTGTGACTATTAGTCCTGGCTGTGTGCAATCTGCAACATCAGGAGCAGTGTACCTGTGGACACCAGTTGCTGGGGGACATGGGCAGGAGGTGCTGTTGCACTCTGGTCCTGCCCGTGGGATCCAGTGGGCAGCCAGCTCCATACTTAGACTCGATGCCCCTTTGATCTGATCCAGCCTGGTTCTTCCTCTCACTTCTAACCATTTATTTTGGCATAAACTGTTGTGGACAATGCCCACTTTATTAGAAGGCATGAAACATTAGTCCCAAATTGACAGATTTATGTACATGTGCCAGAGAGTGGAAGCAGCAGCGACTTTAGGGTAATTCTCGGTCTGCGCTGCTTCATTTCAGTCCCCTTCAGCAACACAGCTCACACCTCTCCACCTACCAGAATGTATGTCTAAATGACAGTGACACCCAAGTCCCATCATGTCATGTTGGGAGCAAGAGAAAAAAGTTCCTGTGCCTCGTCCCTAACAATAAAAATATGTTGACTGGATTCAGAAAACATGATTAGGGGTTGCAGTAGGGTTGTTGCTGAAACATGGGTTACTGTGTTGTCCGGACCCTGCTGTGCCAACCAACTATGGCTTGTTAACACAAGAACCCATGGAGAGAGCCCCTGCTTTGCTCTGGGGCTGTAAACTGCACATTTCCTCTTTGGTGTGTCATTGCATTGCCATGTTTTAACCTTTCTCGAGGTGGAACAGCTTTGCTTTTTGGCTGTTGCCTGTAATCAGTCCAAGATCTGTTGGCTGAAGACAGATGGAAGGAAAACGTTGCTTCTCCTGGCAATCGTCCTGCAAAAGTTGCTTTGCATGCCTCTAATTTGCTAAACAAAGCAGTCCAAATATCAGCCTCGGAAGAATGAAGGTGTTAGGCAGACAGGCAGGCAGAAGCTCGGACAATTGGCTTCTCTGTGCTCCAGCCACCGTGAGATTTTGGTGGGAGGTTAGTTGTGGATTGACTGAGGGTGGGTGGCCCAGATGTCCCTGAGTGGGGCCCTTTGCCCAGCCTATTTGCATGTTGAGAAGCAGAGGAGGGGAGAGGGCAGGTGTGCCCCTTTTGCAGAAGCGGCTTGACTCCACCCTCACGATTAAGCAATCAGGAAGAGTTTTCTTATCAGATCAGCACAAATGAGCAGTCCAGTTTTCCATGCTGGAGGGCCAGGTGCTTTGGGGAAGCCCAGAAGCAGGACGCAGAGGCAATACCTCTCATTAGCCCTTACGGCTGATCGCTTCTCTCCAGCTCTCTATGAATGTGTTTGCTTCTATTCCAGAGCTGTCGAAATCATTAGCCATCATTGCTGCCACCCTATACGACTCTGGTGCACCCACAGCTGGAGTATTGTGTTCAGTTCTGGGCCCCTCATTACAAGAGGGATGTAACGAGGTCGGAATTGGTGCAGCGAAGGGCCACTCGCATGGTGGCTGGTTTGCAGGGATGAGGAGAGACTGAGGGAGCCGGGTCTTTCCGGCCTGGGGAGACCCAATGAGGAGGAGGAGCCACTCCAGGGGGTCTTGGGACACACCCAGCCATGCCTTCCTTCCGTCAGCACAGGCCCTGTAGACAGTTCATGCTCCGGCTCATGCTCCACACACCCTGTGAGGAACTCGTGGCTTAAACAGTTGCACATGCAGTTCTCAACGCTTCTCTTTGGGATGCTCTCCTGTCCCCGTTCTAAGTGCCATGCTTGCATCCACTCTTGTGCTGCAGATCCAGCATTTCTCGTCAGCGGGCCCTGATGACAAGAGATGCCATCTTAGCCCATGCCCAGCCATACCTACTCTCGACACCAGCCCTGTGTTCATCCCAAGGGTTTTGAAGCGCATGACCCGGACTTTGAATCAGGCCTGGAGCTCATGTAATTGATGAAATACTCTCGATTTATTGCTAATTAATTCCCTTGCTGATTGTTTTCTTTGAGCCTAAACATTAACTCACTCCCCACCATTTACTGTTTGATAAACTCCTAAAATAACGGTTCCTCCCTTCTCACTGTCACTAAGTCACTTTTATGCTGAAATCATAATCAATGTAGAACTTTCAAGGCATTGGATTAGTATTGACTATTCCACACACACAGCTCATCCTCTCCAGGCTGTGGGCCATAGAAACTTTGGAGACAAGTAGATAAACATGAAAATTATAAGAAGTAGAAACATAACTGCAGGAGAAAAATGGAGCTCCAGGCCTGCAGATGTATCCTTTCTTAAAAACTGAGCTAAATAGCAATGCCTTGCATGGTTGTTGCTGTTTTGTTGACTCCTACAAGCAAAGGGGAGTAAGGGAAGAACGACTCTGGAAATCTGGGGCTGAAGAACTCCTTGCCTGTGGAGCTCAGCTTTGGGTGATAACTTTATCAGGCGTTGGCAGCTGCTAACTGTCAGCCCATGAAGCTGGCTTGGTTGGGAGGAGAGACAGACTCCCAGGGCAAGATAGGTCAACCCTGCTCTTATCAGAGCCTACTATGAACACAAAGATCCTGAAAGAACCTCCCCACAACTCCACAACAGACAGATTGTCAAGAAGGCGAGGGGGGGGTTGGGGCCCTTAATATATAGAAAGGCCCCCATGCAAATGACAGGCGGGATGGGGAAACTTGCAAATTGGAACATGATAACCATCTCCAGGAAATGCAAATGTTAAGGAGGGCATGACATGATGGCCACAATGGTCAGGGAGACCAGAGCCCCTTTAAGAGTGAGCATTCTTCATCTGCCAGAGACTCGGGACTAGAAGAGAGTATGTGGTCCCACCACTTTTCTTCCCCAGAAAGCAGTGGTTTAAAAATATTTTTGGCATATTTTGTAACCCTCAAGGGTCCTCCAAGTATGCTGATAATCCCCTCTTGCTTCAAGTGGCCCTGTTCTGGCCTGATTTCTGTTGGCGCTCACCACCTGACCATGCTATTAAAAAATGGGATGATGAAAGGGTACGAAAAGAAGTGTAACCTGACTGTGTTTATTTTCCTCTTCCCTCCCCATCCCTTTTTCCTTCTGTACTGTGCATACCTGCATCGAAGCTGTTGGTTCTGACATGGACACAGCCTTGAGCCCATTGGCAGAAAGGCAAACGAAGGCTTCCTTTTGCTTAGGGGAAGGAGATCAGCATACAACTTGCTGATGAAATGCATTCTCTGGAACACAACATAGCATTTGCTCTGCTTCTGCAAACTTTTGAGAATGTTCAGAGAAAACCTTAAGGGCCAATGGTAGACAACAGATGGTCTGCTGGATTGCGGACAATCCTCTCTGAAAGGCAGGCTGGCCAAGACACAGGACCTCCTGCTTCCAGATGCAGCCATGGAAAGCATTTGTGTATGGTGCCTGAGGGGGAAAACATGGTTAAAGAGCCAAGCTTCTCCTTGTCCTACAATTTCTGTTTGGTTTACATAGACCGGGGGTAGAGAGCTTGATGCCCTCCAGAAGTTTTGGCCTACAAAAGCCATCAACTGCTGCCAGCTTGCTTCCCTGCTGTGCTGAGGTCTCAAATGCCCGGTCAGCATCGACTGAGAGCCAGGAGATCCAGATCAAGTCCCTCTCAGCCATGACTGTGGCTCACTAGGTGTCTTTGGGCCAGTCCCTGCCTCTGAGCCTAAGCAACCTCACAGGGTTGTTGGGAAGATAGTGAGAGGGCGAACTGCGCTGGGTTCCTTGCAGGGAAAAAGAGCAGAATAAACGCAATACATAAACTAAGCATTTCTTTCCATCATGTCCCCAGAATCCTTTGCAACGCACAGACTGCAGGATGAACTGCTTACAAGAAAGGATTCCCCCATTTCCCCCCTCTCCCCTCGTTTTCCGGATCCTTTCAAAATGGGGCAGCTTATCTTCTCTCCTAAGCAGTTTTCTGTTCGGAGGTTTTGTTTCATTTTTGGCTCTTCCTTTCTGTTCTGCACAAACTATCTCTATCGAGCAGGAAGCATTGTACACACAAACACACACACTCACGACAACCACAGCTCAATAAAGCTATTCCTCTAAGACTTGTATCCCATAGGCTTCCTGTTGACTCAGTGTGCCAGCTCCAGGTTTCGGAGCGCCCTGGGGCAAGGCACCCCTCTGAGCCACGTCCTCCCTGCCATGGCCACTGGCTTGCTCCTCCACCTCCTGGCTAGCCCTTGCTTTCCTGACAGGCTGGGAACCGGGCACAGCCCCTCTGTTTTGGCATGGCCTTGGCATGTGCGGCTTCTTGGCACCCCTGGGCGGTAGGCTCATCCTGAATCTCGGGTCAGGGACTGCACTGAGACCTGGAGAGTTCTGTGCAGTTTCTCCGCCTTCAGCCAGGCCTCTGTGACAGAGGCACTGCAAAGCAGCAAGGCCATCAAGGGGTTGGGGAAGGGGTTCCATATAGCCTGGGCCAGCTTGAGGGTCCATGCAGAAGCAGTGCGGTGTAGTGGTGAAGAGCATGGGACTGGGACTCAGCCGACCCAGGGTCTAGTCCCTGCTTGGCCATGCAGCCAATGGGGGGACTTGGGCCAGCCGCTAACTCTCAACCCAGTCTACCTCACAGGGTCACT